TGCACATGTGGGGGGGGGTTTGTGCTTGCAGGGGGGTGTCGCACTCGCACGAATGGGGCATGTCACGCTTGCAGGGGCGGAGTGCGCTTGAGGGGGGGCAGGGGATCTGTGTCCGCGGCCCGGTCCTGCCTAGGCCGTGGCCAGGTCACAGAACGGGAGTTGGGGACCCCTGTTCTAGGGTATTAGCTATTCCATCCAATTTGGTATCATCTGCAAATTTGACAAGCATTCCCTGCACTCCCTCATCCAAGTCATTAATAAACATATTGAAGAGCACTGAGCCCAGGACTGACCCTTGGGGTACCGCACTTGTGACCTCCTCCTAGTTAGAGAAGGGCCCATTAATCATCACCCTCTGAATATTATTCTGTAGCCAATTGTGTATCCACCTGACACTTGATCTATTAGATTGTAACAGTCCACATTTTTCAGGTTCCAGCCATACTTTGCCTACGTCATGGTGCTGGCCTGCAGACTATGTACACAACTGTCCCAGCGATGTCTTTCACTGAGAGGTACTAAGGCTGCGCATGTGACTGAGAAGCAAAAGCAAACTTTGATATCCATATACGTGTTGGTGAACACGTTAACTGCATAGCTGAGGAGGTAAGGGGCCATGTAGAGCTCTCCTACAAATATCCAATACAAACAGCCAACTGGCAGGACAGTATCTATAAGCTGCACAAAGAGCAGGAGCCTCTCTTTTCAGCACAAACCTCCTGCTTTATAGAGAGAGATGGGGAATCTGTGACCCAGCTGTTATTGGACTACATTTTCTAGCATTCTAGACCACTCAAGATGGCTAGGGCTGCTGAGCATCTACCAACTCCTGAAGGGCCACAGATGTTCTCCCTCTCAGTAACAAGAAAAACCTTCCTGAGACACTAGATGGCAGGAGTTATTTATGTATCACAGGGTGCTTGGTCTACAGTGCCACCACCACTTATTTGTAGCTCACTGGACAAAGATGTTTTGCCAATTACAGATTTAAGGCTGTTACCCTCTACATTCATTGCACAGTCTGATCTTGAAATTAGAAACAATGTTTGATACAAATAATGCTAAACGTATTTTATAAGAATAAACACATGCAGACAGACTTACAGGTAGGTCTGTATCAGTATCTGAGGAACCCATGCAGCTTTCTGAATCACTTTAGGAGAAAGGAGAGAACATTCCAAAATTGTGAAGTTTAATACCATTTCTAAAAATTATAACCATTCACATAACTGGTAGAATGTTTCCATTTTGGGTCAAACTGTCACAATGTGACTCGAAAGGAGAAAACCTAGCTCTTTAAAATGTTCCATGTACATAGGGAACATGCCTCCCTCACTAAGAAAGACAATCTCAAAGTCTCCATCAAAGAAATCAGATAACAAAGTAATTTACTGCCCTCCAAGGACATCTGGTTAATAAAATATTAGCTCCAAAGAGTTGTAACCACAGTTAAAACCATAATATGATATGGCAATAACTAATGTTTGCAAAGACAGCTGTCCAGAAGTTATTCCTAGCCATAATTACCTCTGAAACTGAATGGCAGAGGGGGATCAATATCTGCTCAAGATACAAAGAAAGAAGTGATATGAAAATAATGGGGCAACTACTTGTCTATAAAGAGATCTCCTCCCAGGTCTGCCCAAGGCTTCCCTCACTTATACAGACCAGTTTGGGAGGGGGAGTACATGGAGGAGGGGCTACAGGAGGAAGGTGTTATCACCTCCATCTATGTTCTGCTGAGAGCTGTCCCAGGGGAAAATTATTTACCCAGTGGCAGAAGTCTTATTAGATATTGAGATGTGTCACCGTAGAAGTTATAATTGTGGCTATTTGATAAGATATCAAGTGACCAAGCACAGAACTGACATGCAAGAAAAACGTAGTCAACTAGCTCTGGGAACTTCAGCTGCTCCTCTTGCATGTGCATAAAAGCCAATAGAATTCTGACCTGGATTTTGGGGTTTTTTTGTTTTTTGTTTTTAAAAAAATACTAATTCTTTTTATATAATTTGAAGTTACTTTTCTTGCCGTCCAAGTCTTGATTTCTTTGCCGAATGTTCATCTTCCAAAGTTTCTAAATCCTCAGTTTTGAGTTCATCACTGATAATTCCAAAAACTATACAAAGTGAAAAACACAGACAAAATCAGTTGTTATCCTCTATGGCAGATGGAGAACCAACCCCTGAAAACTCAGACAACACAACCAATGGTGAAGGATCATGGGAGTTGTAGTCTAAAACAGTTTAAGGGCCTAAGGTTCCCCAGTCCCTCTCTAAGATGCAAACCCACAAATCCCAATTAACATCTAATAAAACAAACAGCCAGAAACACCATGAACAACACAGATCTAGATCTACTTAGATGTGAGAAGGATTTGCCCAAACAGACTGCTGCCTAAGGGTTAAAACTAGCTGAATCCTATTTGGTGACTATCTGTATACATCTGTTAAACTATTGAAAATACTTTGGGATAACCCTAGACCACTGGTTCTTAACCTTGGGTTACTCAGGAGTTTTGGACTGCAACTCCCAGAAGCCTTCACCACCAGCTGTCCTGACTGGGGTTTCTGGGAGTTGCAGTTCAAAACCATCCAAGTAACAAAGGTTAAGAACCACTGCCCTAGACAACCCTTGATGTAATAATTTCCCTTCAAGTATATTATCAACAAACTCACCTTTCTCAACCTGTATTCTAAAAGCGTTTCTTTTTCTTCTTCCATACTCAGCACTGAAAACCAATTTAAAATATTAACACTTTATTAAGAGCCTTTTCCACATATTATACTTTTTAATGTAGAAAAAGAACTAAAAATTACCTAAGTCACTTATTCATACTGGATGCATAAAAAGAACTAATACTGATACTACAGAACTGCTGTAAAAAAAATTCTGGGATAAATTATTTATTTATTTAATTTATATGTCGCCCACTCTACCCAGAGGTCTCTGGGCGGCTTACAATAACAAATGATATTCTTCCTGTATGTCATTGTCCAGTCCAACATGGCAGTGTTTTCGGAATTTGTTCATTGATTGAATTTTGAAAGATATTTATCTATTCCTCTTGCAGTCTTCCTGCCCCATCTTATCAAGGGCCAAGAGGAAGAGTTCAGAAGATTTTACTCCCATTTTCAACTAGTGATACTTAAACATTTTATTCAAAGAACTATGGTCAGCAGTAAAAAAATGATTTAAAGCAGGGGTATCCAAAGTATTGCCTGTGGGCCCTGGCCTTTTTATCTAGCCCATCTAGGCGGTCAGGTGTACATGCGTGCATGTGGGAGGGCGTGTGAGTGAGTGAGTGGGAATGCAGGCAGGTGGGTGTGCGTATGCGTTCCTTTAACCCTCAAAAATATCGCAAATATAGCAAATTATGTGGCCCTCTGTGTGAAAAGTTTGGAGATCCCTGGTTTAAAGAAACAAGCCAGGACTGTAAACCATGATTTACAAAACCATTCCATTGGGTCTCTCTTAGAGCAAAATGAAAGAACTAATTGCCTCACTTTCTCCCCTCCCCCCCCCAAGATGATTCTGATGCATGCCAGTCCTTTCCAGGATTTTCTAGGTACACAACACACATAAGTGGTTTACTATTCTCTTTTTCTGTATACACCCTAGGGTTCTGCAGCTTGCCCATGACCATACACAGGCTGGTTCTTATCTCTGGAGGCACAGTGAGGAATCTTACTTACCTGCATGTACCCTCTAATTGTCAGCCCCAGTGGACGGGGCTCCATCTCTCTCCCGCAGCTTCACCACTGTGTGAATGCGTGACTCCGCCCCCCCCCACTGGGTTCTGTTGCAACCTGAACCTAACATGATTGTTGTGCAGAGGAGGAAGACCACTGCGTGGAGGGAAGCAGAGTCATGCACATGTGTGCCCAGCTTAACGGGAACCTTGCTTACCTGTATGTTTTCTGTAGATCTGCTGCTAAAATTCCAATGTCCACATACTGGCCACACTGACTGCTGCTCAAGTACTGCAATTAATAGATATTAAAACAAGCATAAACAAAATCTTGCAAAAGTGTGCAAAAGTGATTATCCACATAGAAGTAATAAATAAACTTTAAAAAAATCAAATTAAGGAAGATCAAGCCATATCTCCTTATCAGTATACAAAGAGCTGTTTCTTACACATACAGCTTACTATATGAAAAGAAAGGAAAAGGAATTACTTAGCGGCAGAATACTATAGTGCTTACTTACTATAGTGCTTACTTGCAAGCAAACATGTTAGTGAAGAATGGTTCCACAGTCTGCTATTTGACATAAGGTTTTGCTTTCCCTTGCAAAAGTTCTATAGGTGGAAAGGGTTCAAGTTTCTGGAACATGGAAATGGAGGGGGGAAAGCCAACCACTGCAGGCAGGGTTGCTTCCTCACAAGACTCAGGGCATTTGTAAGTGTACCCATTAACAACTTGAAAAAAGAGAGGTTACCTACCTGTAACCATGGTTCTTCTGGTGGACCTCTGTGAATTCACACATGTGGGTTGTTCTCCACCTGAGCGGGACATTTTTGGATGTTTCTGGAGCTTAAAAGACATTTGACAATGAGAAACCCTCCGTGGAGCACAAGCTCCGTCCTCCAATCTTCCCCTCAGTTCCTTCCATAGTCCGTCACTGTCAAGGTAGTATAATAATCGACAATGTGACAGACAAGAGGGGAGGAAGGGAGGGATTGTGTGAATCCACAGACGTCCACTAGAAGAAACATGGTTACAGGTAGGTAACCTCTTTTTCTTCTTTGTGCCCTGTCTGAATGCACACAAGTGGGTCAGACAAGCTCACTTACCGGATGGTGGGACGCCACGGTGGCAGAGATGTCAAAATTGCCCTGCCGAAGGCAGCATTGTTCTTTGCTCTCACATCGAGGCAGTAATGCTTGACAAAGGTTGATGGATTGGACCAGGTTACTGCTCAGCAGATGTTTGGTAGTTGTATTCCATGATGGAGAGCAGTGGATGTTGACAATGCTCTGGTGGAATGGGCCTTTAAATGCTCAGGAGGTGTTTTGCCTGAAAGCTCATAGGCCAAAGACATTGTGTGTACTATCCAGTGAGAGATGGTTTGTGGTGATGCTGGATTGCCCTGGTGAGGACTTTGAAAACACAGAAAAAGCCTTGGGGACTTCCTGAACGTCTTTGTCCTATTGATATAAAAGGCTAAAGATGTTCGGATGTCCAGCATATGGAGCGTGCGCTTGATGGATGTAGTGGGAGAAGAGAATAAAGTTGGCAAAATTAGGGGTTGATTAAGGTGGAAATCAGAAACAACCTTTGGTAAGAATGAAATGTCAAAATATAGGGTGATCTTGTCCGGATGAAATTGTAGGTAAGGTGGATCTGATCTTAGAGCTGTTAGCTCACTAGCACGTTTGGCAGATGTTATTGCCACCAGAAATGTTATTTTCAGTGATAGAAGTTTTAAATTACAAGTAGCCATCGGTTCAAAGGGTGGTTTGGGGAGAGAATGGTCATTTGTAGTGACCACTGTGGTATAGGTAATTGTCTTGGAGGTCGAATATTTAAGAGTCCTCTGAGGAATCTTTTCAAAGTTGGGTGAGAGAAAAGTTTTGATGATTGAGAATGTGGAGGTTGATGGGCTATAACTGCTGATATATAAACTTTCAGAGTTGAATGCGAGAGTCCAGGATCAAATAGATGTAGAATAAAGGTACGGTAACTTGGTATTGCCATTAAATTTCATGATTCAGTAAATGCGATGAAGGATTTCCATTTTTGTTTTTATATAGTCTTTGTGTTGATGGTTTTTGAGCCCTGTCAAAGACATTTCGCAAGGCGGGAGTATCTTCCAAGCTGTCAAATTCAGAGATTGAACATCGGGGTGGAGGATCGCTCTGTTGCTCTGGGACAGGAGGTTCGTATTGACAGTAGGTGAAATATATCTGTTGCCATGGATTGTAGATGGGTGAACCATGACTGTCGTGGCCACCATGGAGGAATGATTATGGCGTCTGCTTGATATTGATGGATCCAAATGATTGATCTCTGAATTAGAGGTATTGGGGGAAACAGGTATAGTAGCTCCTTGGTCCAGTCTATCATGAAAGCATCTCCTAATGACTTGAGATCGATGCCAGCTCGAGAGCAGTATCTCTGACACTTGGTACTGTGTCTGGATGCAAATAGGTCTATGGATGGGTATTCCTATCAATGGCATATAGTCTGGAAAGTATGGTCGTCTAATGTCCATTCGTGTGTTCGTGTTGGAACTCGGCTTAATCAATCTGCTATGTAATTGTCTTTTGTTGAGACATGAATAGCTACTGGGAAGATGTGGTGGAGATAACTCTATGGTAAGGTATAGAAGTCAGAGGGGGTGTGTGCCTCCCTGCTTGTTCACATAGTACATTGCGGTGCTGTTGTCTGTGGCTAGTTGTACTGCATGTCCTTCGATGATTGGTAAGAAGGCACAAAAGGCTTTTATGATTGCTAGTACAGTAGTTCTTGGTGATTTACATGTAATATCCTTTTTTTCCTTGTCCAGAGACTGTGTATTTCTAATTGTCTGCAGTGGGCTCCCCAACCCGAAGGGCTCGCATCGGTCATGACTTGTATCAACAGCTGTAATGGTCTTCCTACTGCTAGACATGGAAGAAAAGTCCACCAGGTTAGTTGCTCTGCCAGTTCTGGTGTCATGACAAGACGTTTCGACTGTTGGTCTATCATGGCTTTGAACAATGACAGGAACCATGCCTGTAACGATCTCATCTTGAGCCTTGCATGTTGAACAACAGATGTGGTAGACACCATGAGCTTGACCAGACATTGGGCTTCAAATGCTGATAGCGATGTCATGGGTCAGAATGCTCAGATGGCTTGTCTTAACCTGGTGACCCTCTCTATTAGTAGAAATGCTCTTGCTTGTATAGAATCGAAGTGGGGTCCAATGTAATTGTCAGTTTGTGATGGTTCTAGGTGAGATTCCGTATAATTCACTCTGAGTCCTAGGTTGCGTAAAGTATCCAAGGTTATTTCTGTAGCCCTGATAGCGTCTTGATATGAGGGGGCTACGATTAACCAATTGTCGATGTAAGGAAAGATGACTATTCCTTGAAGGCGGAGATGGGGTGCAATCAGTGCCATACATTTTTTAAACATTCTTGGGGCCATGGATAGTCCGAAAGGGAGCAAAATTGTTATGATGCTCCGTTGAAAATTTTTGATGTAGTAGGTGGATCGATATGTGAAAATAAGGGTTCTGTAAGTCGATCATGACAAACCAGTCTCCCCTTTCGTTGTTGTTTCTGAAAAGGCTGTTTTCTCTTTTGTGAATGTTGGTTTTGAAATGGCTGAGAGGTGAATGTCAATGTTGAAGGATAGCATCTGTCCTGAGATTGCTGCCAATATGAACAAAAGGGCTGTTGATAGGGATAATGTTGTTGTTAATAAGGCTGTTTTCTGTATGGTGCTCTTTGATATTGAGAGGGCTGCTATGGTGTGTAAGATTTTCCAGTCTTCCTTAGTTTATGAATGTTTTTCATCAGTTCATCTGTTTTTGAGTTGAAGAGTCCGGTGACATCAAATGGGAGATTTTCTATCCTTGTTTTTGTATCATCTAAGATGTTCTATGATCTGAGCCATGTGTGTCATCAGAGTGCTATGGATGTGGCCATTGCCTTGGATGCTGCATCAGCTGTGTGTCTAGCAGCCACTCTCTGTTGTTTCACAAGTGTTGATGCTTCTGTATAGGTGTTTATTAAATCAGGTCTGGTAGTTTTTGATGCAGTTTGTAGCGCTGGTAAAATTTTATCCCATGATAAAATGATAGGCCCCCATGGCTGCTTGATAGCTGGCGACCCGTATTAGAAAGGAGGTGAGAGAATGAAGTTTTCTTCCTAAAATATCAATTTTACGACCTTCCTTGTTCGTTGGTGCTACTGATGATTTGTTTTGTTTCGTATCGAGTTGATTCTACGACGATTGAATTAGGTGTCAGGTGCTTCAGAAGAAATGTTGCATTGGGACCATGAGTCTTATAGTGGTTCTCCACTCTGTGTGGAATTTGGAGGGACGATGGAGGTTTATCCCATGAGTCCTTTACTAGTTCGAAATGGCTGGTATTAGAGTCAAGCTTAGTGGAGGATTTTTATCTTGATCTTTTTCTTGAGTAGGTGGTTCCTGGATGTATAACTGCAGTACTTTGGCCATTCTGAGGATTGAGAATATGATGTAAAATCTTCTGAGGGTGATTTTCTCTGGGTCGGGTGTGGGCGTAGGGAGATTAGGAGGTGATTCTCTAGATTCAGTGGAGTCAGCAATGATGTCGAAGAGAAAATGGTGAGCGTTGCAATCTAGATGTAGATGTTATTGGCATTGCTTCTTTTAATGAGACTGAATCAGGCCTGATTGAGTTTCGGTACCACTATGTGGAGATGGGCCAACAAAGGTTGTGGATACTTGTAAGGATGATTGTTTTGACCGTTTTGTTCTTTTACTCGGCATCAATGTTTCTGATATCGTGAGGGGTCTTTTAAGGGCAGACTTTGATGGTAGAAGAGTCTGTTGTTGGGTCGAATGCATTGGGCGGTGACATCAAGGTGGAGGTGATGGTGACCTTGATACTGAATGCCTCAGTGGTGAGGCATATTGTACTCTTCTTGGTTCGTCATAGTACATAGTGTCAGGTTACATCCCTTGGTAATATGGGTCATAATAGTGGTGCCCATGATGATAGACTGGTGTTGGAAAGATTTGGTGGTGTTCAGGATAGTAATATCTCTCTCCATGTCGAGGGATATATCATGGTGGAGAGATATGCCTTCTCTTCTCCTTGTTTTTATGAGGAGAGTGCTGGGAAGATTCGAATCCCAAAGCTTGCACACTCAATGCCCACCCTGATAGTCAAGGGCTGGAAAGAGCCGAGGCCGGGCTGGAATGGATCTCAGCCTGTGAGTGGCTTGTGCTAGGAGAGAGGCTAGCTATTCACAGTGCTGGTTGTGCCAAAGTTAAGTTATGCTTGTCTCTGTCAGATGTTGAAATGGGAGCTTCCCTTGAAAATTCCTCTAATATTGGTGAAGGAGGAATAGGTTGTGGTGGCTCTATGTGTGTTGATTTTGATCTCTTTTTAGATTTTGATGATTTGTCCTTATCTTTTTTCTTTTTAGTGGCTTCATCTGAGTGAGTTCGAACCTTTGGGATTGACGTCAAACTAGATTTTGAAGAGCCCTTGGATGGTTCCTTTTGCTTTGTCGGGGTTGGCGTCGGGCTGGATATCAATCGAATTGTCGGGCTTGACATCAATCGAGCTGGCTCTGATGGTGTTGAGTCTTTTGGTGAGGTAAGTGTCTCCACAGCTGGTTGAAGAGACGTTTCCCAAAGATGTGATCATAGACATTGTAATGGTTATTTTATTGCAGGTTTTGTTAACTTTTTACATTCAGGGCACAACTGGGTCTAATGTTCCTCCCTGAGGCAAAAGCATATATCGTGCCGGTCAGTAAGTGGGATTTTTCTTTGGCAAAGAACGCACCATTTAAATGGTCCCTGAGGTGCCATAAAAAGGGGGAAGGAGGGAAACTGTTGTTGAGGGAAGGGGGGGGGAGAAATGCAGGAAGTCAAAAAAATTGTTTGTAGGGGGGGAAATTAGAAGCTAATTACAGGGAGATGTAAAATAATAATTATGTAAGAATCTAAGGTAATTGGAAAGTAATGATATATATTAGAAAATTAATACCTGCAGTTAATGCTCTATACTGTTCCTATACGTCCTAACCACGCAGTGGAAAAAAGGAACTGAGGGGAAGATTGGAGGGCAGAGCTTGCGCTCCACGGGGGGGGGGGATGTCTCATTGTCAAATGTCTTTTAAGCTCTAGAAACTTCCGAAAAGTCCCACCCAGGCGCAGAACAACCCACTTGTGTGCATTCACAGAGGCCACAAAGAAGAACAGGCCAGAATAAATATCTGCAAGGAGCTAGAAAAGCAGCTGTTGAATTAAAATGGCTATGCTGGAGTGACTCCTTGCAAAATCAATTTGTAGGTAGTTTGCTATTTCAAAGAGCAAACTACAGCATCATCTACCTATGACAGAATATAAGGTTGAAGTTAGACTCATTCAATAGTAATAGGTCATTCAAACTGTTGGTAATTTTAACTACTGTTCATGTTAAAAAGTCACCTTCATAAACCACAATTTGAAATTAGCTTGTTTCAAACTGTTACGAGTTTTTTGCAGGTTCCCTTACTGCCTTCAGTAGGCAGGACTGGGAGGGAACTTTCTGGGTTGGGGTATTGTCAATCTATCCAACACTTGCTCCCACCTATCTCTACATTCAAAGACAGCCCCCCTCCCCCGTTCAGTGCTTTCTCCCTCTCTGTAGTCTGTTGGCAGTCTGTTGCTGAAAAGGACTCATGTTTATTGGTTTGCTGTTTGAGGTGTTGAATTATAAGTAATGAAATCCTTTATTCTTTCTGTTACTAATATCTCTGACTTATTGAGACTATAAGTGCAAGCTTTATGAGAAAAGGGGTGGACTATTCTGGGCAACTTAAAACTATTCTGCTGGGTGAATTCCTGAACTTCTGCTGTGCAGCTAGAGGAATTTAACTAGAAATTCAAAATTCTGCAACACAAACCGTAACAATGTGCTCTGTTCCTCATTCTTCTAAGGCTGCATTATACATTAACCTTTTCCACACACTTGTAACAAAGCCATTTTCAGATTTACAGCAAAGATTCTAAAACAATTTTCTTAAGATGCATACAATCAACTGATAAGTACCGTTGCAAACAAGCCTACTTCACATCAGACAAGTTCCTCCAGTTGGCTTTGGACGCCTTTAACAACACCTGTATTTCACTGTGAAGATCTGGCCATAGCAAAAATCCCAAAGTTAAATTCCAGACAGTATCTTTCTACTGAAAATAGATATCTGAGCTCCAAAACTCACATGGCAAACAACGCATAGACACTTGGGTCCTATAAAGAGAAAACTGCATACACCCCTGATCACCGATATATACATTCTCCCGACCGGCAGGACCGCTTGCTTTGCAGAGCAAAACCATTAACTTCAGCCCAACAGCATCAGATTTCTCCTAACGCTAGATGTACAACAGTTCTAGTTTATGGCAAACGTACTGAGACCAAGGCGGTCAGAGGGACATCGGTCGCTGCCTCATCATTAACCAGACCATTGACTCACCTTGCCCACCCCTGACAACCCTGAACTGCCAGCGTTTCTCCCGGATTTCAGGCTGGTTTCTTCCCTACCCCTTCTTTTCGGAATGGTGAGGGAGGAGAGGTCTAAATATGCTCAGAGGCACGCTTTCCTTCGCCCCAAAAGAGAAAGGCCAAGAACCATAGAGAATAAGGTCCGGGACTCCGACCAACCGTACGTCCCCTTTCAGGCCCAGGGGCTGACGACGGTCTAAGTAAAAGAGAGCCCGCGAAGGAAGGACGAGAAGAGGAAAGACGAGGCCGTACCTCCTTAACTCTTTGCTTCAATCGAGGATCCCCCACAAATGAGTGGCTCCCCCCACGATTCCGCATGGCAGCTCCCAATACAGTAGATTCCGCCCCTCACGCCGAAGGGAGGCCTCGCCTTTCCCAACCGAAGAAGCCCCAAGGGCTGCTGGAGATAATGCCTGAATACAAGGGAAGCAGCTGTCAAGTTGCAGGCTCCGCCGCCGGCGTAAAAAAATAGTCACTTCAAAAGACATCCCAAATACTTACGTTTAAGTAAAAGATGAGGGAACAGAATTGGACCCAGGAATAGACCATCCATATAGGCACTGTTTTAAACAGCTAATAAACCGCCGAGCCGTAGGGGACCTTGCTCTCTGATCTTAATACCTCTTCGACTCACCCCGCCCCCTTCTCTTTGCAGGTTTAGTAGAGCTACGTAATGGAGTGTCCTTGCTATTTTTTTTTAGCTCCACCTCCCGTGTTGGGTTGGGTTAAAAGAAGACTACAATTCCCAGAGTGCTGTGCAAGATAATGTTTTACAGGCCGGAGGGGGGGGAAGAACAGTCCCTGGAATCGAAAGCGTGTAGAGGGGGTTGTTGTACGGTCACCCCGACGCACCAGAGGGGCGTGGCAACGTACGGTGGCCGGGAGGACCCTGAAGGCGTTGTCTCCGCGGCGGGATGGAGTCGGTGGTGTTTATCTTTTCACTCATTGATTGCTGTGCCCTGATTTTCCTTTCCGTTTACTTCGTATCCTCTCGCGCCCTGTGGGGCCAAGCGCTCGGGGAGGGCGGCGCGGGCGAGCGGGCGGGCGAGACGCCTCCCTTTTCTCGGGCTCCGTGGGTGGGACGGAAAGTCGGGGCCGTGAAAGGAACTCCGTGGGGCGGGGACGTTAATGGCGGTCTCTTGGGGGACCGTGGCGAGGTCTCTCCTGAAGAGCTGATAGAGGAGACCGAGAAGAGGTTGCGTTTGGGTGGGTGGGTCGGTCGCTCGGTGTGGGCAGTGCGGGAATCACAGCCAGCCTTTTGCGGGAATCGGGAGCAACTTGGCCTAAAAGCAGCCTCTGAGCGTGGTAGAAAAGTGAATTATCAGTTTTCCTGAATGTGTTGAGGGGGGGGGGAGGAATGGACTAAGAGGATGGAGAGGTTTTGCTCGGATTCCTTCCCACTTCAGCAAGAGGTTCTGGAGCTTGAAAATAGGGTGTGCTTCTCTTGGGCCCATCGCTAAGAGTGACCCTTACATAGACTGGAAAATAAGCCCTCCAGAGTTTCTGGGATGCAGGTTTTGATGTTGTTTGCTAACTTTTTATTGATTTGCAGAGGACGGGTGAAGATCTGTGTTGGCTTAGAAATGTGGGCTTCGTTCCTCTGTCTGCCCACTTGCGTTTTTGTGCTGGACGCAGAAACTACGTTTAGCCTGCCTACTTGCTTGCGTGGAATAGTATTGTGCTCTCCTCAGGGGGCAATTTCTGGTCCTTCTGGCAGTCATGTTTAAATATGAGGCTTTTTTAAGCAGCACGCTTTGCTTTTCTAGAGGGCACCCCTGGCTCTCTGTTGTGGTCCTTGGTTAGTTGCCTAACAGCGTGAAATGAAGGTAATATTCTACGCATTATTTTTAAAATATGACCACAACACCTACAGTATTTGTCTATAGTCATGTAAAATGTGTGGGACGTGGTGGCGCTGTGGGCTAAACCGCAGAAGCCTGTGCTGCAGGGTCAGAAGACCAAGCAGTTGTAAGATCGACTCCTGTCGCTTCTCCCAGCTCCCGCCTACCTAGCGGTTCGAAAGCATGCAAATGCAAGTAGATTAATAGGAGCCCCCTTGGTGGGAAGGTAACAGCGTTCCGTGTCTAAGTTGCACTGGCCACGTGACCACGGAAGATTGTCTTCGGACAAAACGCTGGTGCTATGGCTTGGAAACGGGGATGAGCACCGCTCCCTAGAGTCGAACACGACTGGACAAAAATTGTCAAGGGGAACCTTTACCATGTAAAATGTGACCATTATGTAGTAGCGGAGCAATGTTGGTGGCTGCTCAGCTGTTTTGTAGAATACTGATGTTTAGTTTTGCAGTATAAAACACAGCTGCTTCTAAGCAACAACCACGACCAATTGAGATTTATCTTAGTTGCAACACATTAGCTTAAGTGTGGAGTGAGATTAATATGTTGCTGCCTACTTGTTTCTGCTCTTTATCTGATTCGTAGATGCATCTGCTTGGAATAACTCATTAATTTGATTGGAAAAAAAATCCAACAAATGTGCCAAGAGTGTTTTTATCATTCCAGCATTATGTAAATATTTCAGTTGGTATTTTATGACTTAGGGTGCAAAGGTCAAATCTTTAAACATTGCCTTTAAACATTTTCAAAAACTGAAGTACTTGAGTTTACCTGTAGCTGAGGTTCCAGTATGGTTTCTGTGTTTTACAGGTTGAGGAATAACCATTTGAAAAGAAGTTTAATATTCTGGTTCCCCCCCCTCCCCTGGATGTTTGAGTAATATAAAATGTAATATCTTCATAGGACACTTTCAGGCAGAGTTGTATGAAACTGACATTTTTTTAAAAAAACTTGACTGTTCTCTGAATATTATGTGTGGGACGTGGTGTATTAGCATACTATGTGACTAGTGCCCTTAATTGTAGTACCTAGAACAGTGTAGTGTCCTGTTGCTCTAAAAAAGGATATGGAGGGAGGGATGTGTATGATCTTGCATAAAGGGATGTTTTTAATGCTGTTCCTGAAGGAGACCAGTACATGATGGTGTTAAAATAAGAAATACAGTGGGGTCTTGACTTGAGAACTTAATCTGTATTGGAAGGCGGTTCTCAAGTCAAAAAGTCTGTAAGTCAAGTCTCCATTGACCTACAGTGCATTGAAAACCGATTAATCCCGTAACAGGCCGTTTTTGTTCCATTTTGGTTTTTTTCTGGTCTGTAAGTCAAATCTCAGTCTGCAAGTCAAACCTAAATTTTGCGGCCAGAGAAGTCTGTAACTCAAAAAGACTGTAAGTCAAGCCGTCTGTAAGTCAAGGGTCCACTGTAGTCATGCAATTGCAGAAAATAGTTCAAAACTTCAATTTAAAACTGTTGTGATCTTTCAGTTGTTGTGTAGATACAACTACTGCCACTGCTGGCAATATAACTCCAGGTATGATTGGAAACCTGTATGACTCTGGACACCTTAGACTCCTTTCCTTGAACTATCATGACACTGATCATAGCGGTTGTTGTGTGAATGCTAGGCCATGCAATATTTAGGATACAAGTTATATTGAGTTTGAAGTCTGATTTCTTACATTGGCACAAAGGTAAAATGATATTAATCTGAAAGTAATCTATACGTCTTTGAAAAGGACCTTTGGTCTGTGAAGATTCTATGCTGTAGTCTTTGTTACAATAATAGCTTATGTGAACTTTGCTCGACTATTTTATCTACCTGTGAGTAACAAGGCCTGTTTAGCTCTTGCACAAAAAATCCCAGTTAGAGCTTTGAAATACAATGCATTACTTCCTTATCTTGATCTTCAGATAATTACATTATCAGATTTGGAATGTGACTACATTAATGCTAGATCTTGCTGCTCAAAATTAAATAAAGTAAGTTTTATTTTCTTTATTTTAACTGATGAAATTCTATTTAACATTGGCTTTAAGGTTTGGTACTGTTGTGCTCTTTATTAGTATGAAAAACTAGTCATAGGCATTCTTTTTGTACAAAAGGTTACAAAATGGCCACTACAGTCGTGCCCCGCTTAACAATTACCCTGTATAACGACGAATCCGCTTCACGGTGATGTTTTTGTGATTGCAATTGCGATCGCACAAATGATGTTTTAAATGGCATTTTTTTGCTTTGGGAAGATCGGTTCCCTGCTTTGGGAACCGATTCTTAGCATTACGACGATCAAAACAGCTGATCGTTGGGGTTTCAAAATGGCTCCCCCGCTGTGCTTAAGGACGGATTCCTCACTCTACAGGCACCGAAAATGGCCGCCCCTATGGAGGATCTTCACTGGACGGTGAGTTTTCAGCCTATTGGAATGCATTAACCGGGTTTTAATGCGTTTCAATGGGCTTTTTAATTTTGCTTTACGACATTTTCACTCTACAGCGATTTCGCTGGAACAAATTAATGTTGTTAAGTGAGGCACCCCTGTATATTAAAATAGTCCAGTATAGGCTACGTGTGTGTCATCTCTTTTGAAACGGGTGCATAGTAAATTGAATATGAGTTAATTAAAAAAAAGTTCCCTGACCAGAATCCTGTTGGTGTTCTTCTGAGGTGTGTGTAATTTGCCACAGTACTTTTGCTTTTTAGTTTTTGTTGTTGCCCAGGCAGGTTTGCACAACTGCATCTCTGTAAATTGTCATTTGATATTTATTCTAAATGCTGACAGCATAACCTATAACTATTCATTAGTAAACTGAAGTTACTCCAGGATTGTGATCAGAGATAAGTTCTTACTCTCAGGGGAACAAAGATTATCTCAAGCCATCTACTGGCTGAAATGCTCTTGGTATTCATTTAAGGTTTGTGTAACCTGCTGCAACTAATTAATGAAATGCCAGGGCACATCTTGTCCTCACTATTAGACACGTGACTAGGCACGCAACTGAGATGCACCTCTACACTTTGTCAGTTAGTTATGGCAAATTGCAGTGTTCTTTAGTTCATCATCTCGTACATGGAGGGCTGGATCCTGCAAATTGCTATAGTATTTTGTATCTAGAACATTCCCACAGAATGTTATATTGATTTCCTAAAATATTTTTTTTCCAGTGGGTGATCCCTGAGTTGATTGGCCACACCATTGTCACTGTATTAATGCTTATTTCACTGCACTGGTTCATCTTCCTTCTCAATTTACCTGTAGCAACCTGGAACATCTATAGGTAAGGTTCACTGAGGGTTGTTTGTGCATCTTTTAAAAGAATTACTGCTTCTCAAAAATATGCTGGGGAAGCTGAGTGGACTGATTTTATTGATTTTATGCTAATCATGCACTTTGCTTTTTGTGTGTACAAAAATTCATTTTATATGGTATCTTTTTCCATTATTTTGTTAAATGGCCACTTGTTAGGAAGAACTGATAATAGGTAAATGTCATGTTCTCAATCTAAATACATTGAGGTGTTATGCTTTTGTTTGTTGAGATAGCCAAATGCGAATTATTGAAGACATTTCAGAATAATGTTAATATAGCCTGTCTTGAAACCTATTTGTCTCTTGTCTATCAGAGGACAGCCATGTGTGGAAGGAAGCAAGAACTGTAGTGATCAATGAAATGAGATAAATATTCCAATAAATACTGACATCACCACTCTGTCCTGCATTGTTTTTGGTGGGAGATTTATATCCCTACCAATATTCTGATGTAACTGATCACACATAAATATAATTTTTGTGCCTGACTGGAGCAATTTGTATGTAGGAAGTACCATGAAAATTACCTACTGCATGAGCTTGTTTCCAAGTGTGAAAATTACTAATACTGTATGTTAATTTGAGTATGCTCAACAGCTATGCATGTATGGTTATGTATACATGTATATCTTGCTTGCACAAGGGGTGGGTTGAAACCTCACAATTCCACCGATCCTTGCCTCAGCAGTTTCTGGAAAGCAGGAAGATGCTACTGCATCTTGTTTTGGGTTTTCCCTTGTATACCTGGTTGACTGCTGATTGAACAGGATGCTTGATTAGGTAGGATTTTTGAATCCAGCATGGCTTTCCTTATGTTCTTATTCTGCTGCGGCCCACTTGTCACGTCAGGCCTCAGCAAATGGCAGCAGTGATCTTGAGTGGAAGTCAAGCAGCCCTTGAGTCTGCCCACCAGCCAACAGTTAGTAAATTTCCTACTCTTCTCTGAAGTGTCCAAAAAGTGAAACACTCCATAGTAGTGAATTGCAAGAAGCTTGAACTGACATCCACCTTGAACTAATAAGAATCAAGTAGATTATTAGCTCTCATACAGAGAGTACCACCACCCACCCTTGGGGAGTAGGTAGGCCTTTTGGGAGAATATGTTGCTTGATGGGCTACAGTGGTGCCAGCACTGTTAAGGTCATAAGGATGGAGCATCAGCAGTGACTCATAGGTAAAAGGAGAGCAGGCAGAGTAGACATCACTGTCAATGAGTCCTGCTGAGGCACATGAACTCTGACTGCTATGCAGTTAAACCAAGAACTAATACTAGGCTTGTGTACATTTTAAAAAGTACAACTCTGCATTTGGCTGGTGTTAATTTGATTGTTATTCTATGTTATGAAAGTTTGCCTTTTTAGAAACAGAATTGTATTCAGTGTTGCCTGTCTGCTAGCAGAAAGGATACTGCTGGTGAAACAGATTTTCTCCTCTTTGCAACTGCTCAGATCTACACCAGAGTATTGCAGGACCCCCAGGAGCAAAGTTACAGAGCACATGGAAATTCTGGGGAAGAGGGAGAAAGAAAACTTATGTTGCATGGTCAGATTTAGAGATAGGCATGAACTGCTGGCTTGGCGGTTCATAATGGTTCCTTCTTTGGATGCACAGGTATTCTGTTGACACCCCAGCTTCCCTCCCTCGCCTTGTCCAGTGGGTGCCCACTCAGAGGAGGAACTGGTAGGGCAGAGAAGCCTGAGATGCTGCCTCCGAGTGGGTGCCCACTGGAGGAGGTGGGGAAAGAAGCTGAGATGCCCACAGAACACTTGTGCATCCAAAGAATTATGAACCATTGAACAGGTAGTTTGTGTCCATCTCTAGACAGGTTCATTTGCATGTCACTGAATAGAGACTTGGGCTCTTCCCTCAAGCAGATAAACTAAGTGGTAGAAAAAATTCTGTTACAGAAAACTTTTCCAGTTCAATATCACTGCAGCTAGAACTTGGAATATTTATGCACAGGCTCACTGTTCTGTCATTCTGTTTCATGTTTATGTTCCTCCTTCTGATTATTGCCTTCCGTCAAGGTGCACTTGTCTCTCTGAAATGAAACCAGTCTTTCTGAGGCCATCAAACCAATTCTTTCCACAAAATCTCTTCTCTGCAAGTGTTTCTTGTCCTACTGATTCCAGTTACCTGTATTCGTTTAGGGATATACATATATCTTTGTTTTGTTTTGTTTTTTGAGTCTCAGGTTATTGACATGCTGTACAGTACTTGAACTCTTGTTATCTCGGTGCTGAATTTGTAGCTAAGTATTGAAACACTTTTCCTTTAAAAATTTTAGGTTTATTATGGTTCCCAGTGGAAACATGGGAGTATTTGATCCTACAGAGATCCATAATCGAGGGCAGCTAAAGTCGCACATGAAGGAAGCCATGATTAAACTAGGCTTTCACCTTCTTTGTTTTTTCATGTACCTTTACAGGTAAGTCTCAGGTCTTGCAGTTTAAGAAGGCCTACTTGCATGCCTTCCTACAAACTTGTTAGGATCATTGTAAAATTAGCTTTTATTTTCTTTTAAAATCTGTACAGCTTTTAGTTTCACCTGCATGGTTTTTTGCTTGCATTTTGTAAATGCAAACATTATTCCAACCAGTTCCTAGATTTAGAGTTAGAGTGCCACATAATGTTACAGTGACGGGTATTATACTGGAGCTCTCCCAGGAAGGGGATTAAAACCTGGATGTATCATATATAAAAGACAAAAGACATAGTGGCACAGCTCCGCAATGGAGATGGAAAAATGATAACAGATGACAAAGAAAAGGCAGAGGTGCTTAATTCCTATTTTAGTTCAGTCTTTTCCCATAAGACAGACTATGAATTTCCAAACAAATTGGAAGTACAAGGGGGGGGGGACAGGATTGCAGCTAGAGATTGATAAATAGTCAAGGAATCCCTTACCACCTTGAACGAGTTGAAATCTTTAGGGCTGGATGAACTGCATCCGAGAGTACTGAAGGAACTGGCTGAGGAACTCTCAGAACCGCTATCCATTATTTTCTTGAAATCATGGGAAACGGGTGAGGTGCCAGAGGATTGGAGGAGGGCTAATGTTGTCCCTATCTTCAAAAAGGGCAAAAAAGAGGAACCTGGGAACTACAGGCCAGTTAACCTGACATCAATCCCAGGCACAATTCTGGGACAGATCGTAAAACAGTCATTGTGCAAGCACCTGGAAAACAAAGCAGTAATAACTACTGTAGAGGCCAACATGAATTTGCCAAGAACAAATCCTGCCAAACTAATTAGATCTTGTTTTTTGATCAGGTAACCTCCCTGATAGAGGGAATGCTGTAGATGTAGTGTATCTTGACTTCAGCAAAGCTTTTGACAAAGTGCCCCGTGATATCTTGATTAGCAAGCCAACTAGGTGTGGGCTGGATAGATCAAGTGTCATACTTGAAGTTTGGGACACCACACTTCAAGAAGGATGCTAACAAATTGGAACAAGTTCACACGAGGGTGACAAGGATGTTTAGCCTTGAGAAAAGAAGACTGAGGGGTGATATGATAGCACTTTTCAAATCTTTGAAAGGCTGTCATACAGAGGAGGGGCAAGATCTGTTCGCGATCATCCCAGAGTGCAGGACATGCAACAATGGGCTCAAGTTAAAGGAACCCAGAATTCTGTTGAATATCAGGAAAAACATCCTGTTAGAGCAGTAAGACAGTGGAACCAGTTACCTTGGGAGTTGGTGAGTGCTCCAACACTAGAGGCATTTAAGAAAAACTTAGATAATCACCTGGCAGAAATGCTTTGATTGTATTCCTGCATTGAACAGGGTGTTGGACTTGATGGCCTTGTGGGCCCCTTCTTACTTCACTTTTCTATGATAAAACTAACCTGATGTGCACTTTATAGTTTACATTTAATCTTTACAAAATGACACTGAATTGTCATAAAAATATAATCTTGTGATTCCCATTATTAATACCAATAGCAAAGATGTGGTTCCTTAAGCATCTTTAGCTGTTATTGAGAAGAGCTCCCAATGTTTATCTTTTAATGGATAGGTTCACATAGTAGTATGTAGCATGGCCACTGCCATAAACAAGTTCAAACGTGAGTAATCTGTCCTTTCTCATGTTTCAACAAAAATGTTGTCACTCACCCATAAGCTCAAACATAGGTTGCAGGGGGAAAATATGTCATAAAAATTCTCACCCGAAATAATTACCTTATGAGGACTGTGCACTAACTTTGTCTTGGGTATCTTTCTCATTGGGAAACATTTGTGAGTGCTTTTTACCTTTTGAGGGGGGCATAATGTCTTCCGTAAATCTACTTGACTTTCTCTGTATTTCAAGCATGTTATGTGCGTCTCGTTGAGGGCACCATGGAATTCCGGGTCGATTGACTTCATACTTAAACTACTATTGGTTTTGTACCATTAACTGATACAGGTTTACCCCCAAATCTTGAAAACTGTAGTTTAGTGCTTAGAATTTGCTGCAAGAAATCTCTAGCTGTTTTTCTGCTTTTAAAAGTAAAATTCCTTGTTTTGCTTGGTAGGCATTGCTGTGTAGACAATACTTAACTTCTACAACAAGCATGTTGCCAGAGCGGTGGTGGTTCTTTTACCTGTTTAAAAATGTTCCTTGAGCATATAATTTAAAATAAGTATCTAATCACAAACTGTTAGGCTTTTGATTAACTTTATATTTTATATGGGTGCAAGCAGGCCTGGTCTCTGTATATAAATTTCAATCTATACATTTATTCTGTAACTTTCAATTACCCTAAAATGTAAGGTTCCATTTTATTTAGTATTGTGTTATGTGTTGAATGCTTTTTGGAATAGATGCTACTTGCACCTATTTGACAGATCACAATGTGATGTTCACAGCTTGCATATACTGTAGATGATTTTGGCAGGTAAGGCTGGATTCCTGGGTAGATTCAAGTCATTCGAACCAACTTACAATCAAGTTGGTGTAGAATTCTTGGGATACAAACCAAGGTTTCATAATCTCTGTTGTGCTGTACAGGGCATTGCTCCTGGAACTGGAGCAACCTGAAAGTGCAGTCTTGAAAGTTAAATGCTGTTGAAATGGGGGGCTGCTGACGTATACATTTTTTGTGAAGGCAAGTCTGTCAAAGCAATGCACAGTGGTACACCAGCCATGCATTATGTATTTGGTCTTAATACAGTGGGGTTTGTCTAGACTTTAACATGTTTTATATGGAGTATGAAAGCAGCTTTACACTTTTGAGTTGTACCTGAATAAAATTAGCTTTAGTAATTTTGGGGTGAAATAGTTAGGGACTGATGGGATTACTTGTACCATAAAATGTTTTATTTTGAACTTCCAATACCATTCTGTTAAAACTAAGTTATAGTAATGAAATGCAGCGGCCAGAATCCTCTTGTTTAGTGTAGTAAATTTCATTAGAGCAAGCCCATTGAATAAATGGGAATTTAGTAAGCTGGCTCCTCCATAAAGTTGATTCAAACGAGCCTACTCTAACTACAATTTACTATGCTACAATAAGTCATTTTTTTAATCTGTGGCACTCAGTTGAGTCACCAAATCCCCATTGATTCAATGGACCTACTGTAGTGTAATTTACTACCCTAAGCAACAGGATTTGGGCCACTGAAATCATTTTGCTGACATAACTGGGAAAATAAAGATGGCGAAGTGGGAATAGTCTCTCACTTTTAGGTTGTGCTTGTCTGTACATCAGTAACCTGCTGTTTTACTTCTTCTGCAGTATGATTCTGTCTTTAATAAACGACTGAAGTGAAGGTGAAGGTGCTAACAGTTGTCAAACTGAACTGTCACTCCAGTGAAGACATTGTTGAACCAGGAGCAGCTCTCAAGTAAACCTAGACCAGTGTTGTCCTGCAGTCTATTTTTTCCTCCTCAAACAAAAAATATTTTTGCTGTATTTTTTAACATATAAAATATTTAAAAACCCATGATACAAATTTTCTGGAACCATTCATTTGTTCGCACAGCAATTTATTTTCCTATATCAAAATCAGTGTTGTATAAGACATTTCTGTAGTGGAATATGGTGAGTTTGCCTGATCAGTGAGGCAGTAGCTATCGGTAGCAACTTCAATTTAATAAGCTTCTTTGCATCTCAGAGACGTATCAGTGAGGAGTAATTGCTGGGTGTAGCTGTGTATTATTCAGTTCTTTAAAAAAACACTTCTGATTTATGAATGTGAAATATTGTGCTTCTATATCCTTTATTCAAAACACCAGGGAATGGATCAATATTACTACTGTACACAATGTTCTCCCCGCAATGCCAAATTTTACATAGCAATAAGCAGCCTGAATTTTGACATCAATAGCAGCAGTCAAGATGGTGTACATCTTCTTGTGCTTACTAACATTAACAAAGATGTTCTACTAGGAGAGTTGCTGTACACAAAAAGAATCATAACTTAATTGTACGGCATCTTAATGGTGAGAAAACAGGAAATGTAGGAAAGGAAATAGGTTGGTGTATATAGCTTAATTCCACCAATGTGATAATCCTATTTATTTATTGTATTTTTATCCCGCCTATCTGGTCAGATGACCATTCTAGGCGGCTTCCAGCACGCATAACATACATAAGATATAAAAAATATATAAAAATATAAAATATAATATCAATAGACAAATACTTCAAGATGAGGAAAAGAAAAAGAGAAAAAGAAGAAAGAAAGAAATAAGAAAAATCAAGTACAATCCTAGGTACACTGTTACATCTGTTGTGGTTGTACAGTACTGTATGTGGTTCTTAAACTCTGTCTTGGAAAACTTATTCAAGATTTATACTAGGTTGACAGCCCACGCATTTCAAGAAACTCATCAGATTGACATATTCCCACTACTCCAGGAGCAGAAGTGCTTCCCACTCGTGAGTTCAAGATTTATACTAGGTTGACAGCCCACACATTTCAAGAAACTCATCAGATTGACATACTCCCACTACTCCAGGAGCAGAAGTGCTTCCCACTCGTGAGTTTATTTATTTATTTTCCAACTTTTACCCTGCCCATCTAGATTCAATGAATCTACTCTGGGCCAGCATTACAAACAAAATTTAAAACAAGATGATAAGACATAGGAAATTAAGAAATGGAAGGGGGGAAGGCTTGCCTGAAGAACCAAGTCTTCAGCTTGTTCTTAAAAACTCCCAGCGAGGGAGGCAGGCAAATCTCAAGGGGCCGCCGCTGAGAAGGCCTGGTTTCTAGTTCTCTCCTTCTGGGCCTCTCGGGGTCAAGCCTCTCAGCTGCCCAGCCTGGTTAGATCGCGTGATACAAGTAGAACTAGGTGGGAGCACGCATTCTGTCATGTATCAAGATCCTAAACCATTTAGGGCAGGGGTCCCCAACCTCCGGTCCGTGGCCCAGTGCTGGTCTGTGGGCTTCCCAGAACTGGGCCGTGGAGATGGATTTCTGCCCCCGTCTGCCTGCCCGGTGGGTGTGTCACGCTCGCAGGGGGCATGTTGCACTTGTGCAGGGGTGTGTTGTGCTTGTGGGGGGCGTGGAAGACCACAGCTGCACCAGTCTTCCTCCTTTTTTCGCCACTGCCGCCAGCAGCTGCAGTTTCTGCCACCCGCCTTTCAACAAGGCCTTGCCACCCTCGTCTTCGCCTCTTGTGGCCACCTTGCTCAGTGGCTGCTCTTTTCTCAGTACAAGTGTCGACGAGCTGCCTAACCCATCACATTGCGGAATTGAAGGGGAAGGTGGCAGTGTCTGGGGGGGGGGACAAAGCAGGAATCACAGGAAGACTCTACCTCTTCCTCCCCATTGGTCTCCCTCCCTGCACTTGCTGGCATGCTCTTTTTTCCCCTCCATCTCTCCCAAACCGGCAGCAACGTTTGTGCCTTGTCACCCAAGGCATGGGAACTGGGGTTGGGAAAAGGCAGGTGTGTTGAAGGGAAAGGCCACTTTCCTGACAGCCGCCAAAGAAGGCGTGCAACCATGAGACGACGCACGGCGGTGGAGAGGCAGGGTGGGTGGGGAGTGGGATATGGTTATTTGTTTGCTTGGTTGCTTATAAATAGAGACACCGGGTACTGAAGCAAGGAGGGGGAACAGATGCGATAAAAATCATGGAAGGCAAGGGAGGAGCTAAGGAGACCGGGGGCACGCGTCCTGAGAACTGGGCCAAGCAGCCACTCCAAGGCGGGAGCGGCAGGGACTGAAGCAGCCAAGCACGATCACTTGTCATGGCCGTTTCTTTGTAACCAAGAGATACTGAAAGGACAACGAAACGAGGAGATGGAGCCAGAAAATCAGCTTGTAGGGCTAAGAGACAAGGCTGGGTCAGAGCAGGGAAACCTGATGGAGGAAGAGGCACAACTTCAAGCGTGGGAGGGGAAAGGAGGAATAGCTGAGGTAATTTCGGGCTATAAATCTGCCTGGCATGTGCGCAAGTGCGACGTGCCCCCTGGAAGCATGACACCCCCCGTGAGTGCAACACGCCTTCACCCCTCAACCAGTCACTGGTCCCCAAAATGTTGGGGACCGCTGGTTTAGGGCTTTATATGTAAGCATTATCACCTTGAAGTCAATGCAGAAACAAATGGGCAACCAGTTTAAGGCCACCATGGTGGGGGAAATGCGATGCAAGTTCATTGTGGGGATAGTAATAGATCAAGATAGCTGATAAGCCTACTTTGGTATGCCATAGTTATAATCAATTGTTGTCCAAAGAAAATGACTTTAGGTTAGAGGTGGGAAAAATATTTGAAGTGAGAAAGCATTAGTTGCAAAATGTAGAATAACAAGGCTAGATGGAAGAGCTCTACAGTGCAGGAGAGATACCTTGGTATCGTACTTCTATTGAGATTGGCACAGGTGACTTCATGTGTTTTATGCTAAGGAAATCAAATGCAAAAGAGGATTTAAACACTTGCCATTCAGTTTTTCCAAAAAGCATCATCTTTTTCCCCCCAAACTGATAAAAGCTTTGGCTGGAGATAAAGAAATAGAGATGAATTGTACTCCCCCCCTGCCCCACATTGCACAGTTCAATACAATTCCCATTTCATTTTATTTACTTACTAAATTTATATCCCACCAATTTAGACCACGTCTATTCTGGGTGGCTCCCTTCCTCTATTTTTAAACTTTGGGAACTGAGCTCATTGTGATTCATTTTTATATATAGGACCACTTATTCCCAGATCATTCACTAGTGGGTATTTTAATTTGATCAGTAACTGTGGAATGAGAAAAGGATTTATTCCTTTGAAACACCTGATTTTTCAAGAAAAATCTTTGAGGATACCTCTGTGTTCAAGGGCTACTTCTCAGAAAACTTAGCCCTAATTCTACAACTTGATTCAGAGGAGGTTTGGCCCATTTCCGTTTTACAGGGTCTCACATCACTCCTCCATACAGAGCACGTTACCATAGTCTTTCGAGACTGATGGATGCCTAATCTAAATCTACATCAAATTATATTTTGAAGTTCCTCTTTCAAAATGGCTTCCTATGCAGCCTTGAGAGCAACAGGTGTACACAGAAGTTAAATGCACAAGTTACCTGGCTTACTCTAAATTGGATTTATTTTAGGGTTTCAACTATGGGATAAGGAAGACACTTGTGTACTGCAAATAGCTTACTTAGTACTTAATTACACACGTTTGTTTGTTTGTTTGATCTGCTCTGATTGCTCCATTTGCCAGCAACCAGATGATGTAAATGCCACCACAAACCAGCCTGGCCTCACAGTGCTTCTACTGGCATCTTTCTGGCACTCTGTCAGAGGCAACTGTTTTTCAGGCATGGATAAGATTGCTCTAGTCTCTGGAGAAGCCACTTAATAGGAAATGTTCACTTGTCTCCTTTGGAGGGCAAGCAAGAGTGAGAAGTTTTGCATTTCTTTTAAACTCTTGCTAAGGTATCAGCAGGGTGTTTTTTCAAGTCCTGTCAAAACGCAGTGACTCACTGTTTCAACAAAAATGTAAAAGAAATGCAGAACTTTTGCCCTTCCCTGCTCCTCCACATAATACCCTTGAACATTAAATTTAAGCGTACACTATCACACAGTGACTACCTGTTTTTCCTACTTGCACTTTGAAAGAGCATGTAAATGGTTCTACCTCTATCAAGATTAAAGACTGACAGTGAACAGAGACCTCTCCCTTTGCATGTATCACCAGCCTTTCATGCCCGTCAGCGGTACAAGCTGTTACACCTGAACCAGTCCTTACTGTAGGAACAGTAAGTTATACTTGACAAACTTCTTGATATGGCAAGTTATAGTAAACATGTACTTTGATGCCTAGGACATAAAAGCAGTACAGTAGCAGGTTGTAGTTTAGAGCATATGGATCAAGGCTGCCCCAGTCTACTGAGTGAGCAATGGCATACACTGGAGATCCGACTATACTGTAGCCCAAGTCACAGGCTGTCTTGTTCCAGCATAGAACTCAAACTTTGGCTGAACATACATCATAGCTTGGCTGCTTTTGCCTTTACAGAGAATACTGTCTCAAGAGTGTTCCTGTGTAATCCCTATGAAATAGAAATCCAAAAGGGCAGTCATAGCACTGAGGTTTATAAGGCTAAGAACTATTCAAGTCCAGTTATTCATTCTGTTTATTGAATTGGAAAGAAAGGGAATACAAATATTTGTTAAGTGCTACGCACCAACATGGAAAAGTGTAATTTTTAAAAACCCCAATAAAAACAAATAATCAGGAATTAATGTATTTTGAATTGAACATTGTAAGAGATATGTTTAATATACTACATATTTATAAAATAAAAAGTTAAAGTGTTCTGTAAATAATTAGTAAAACAAGTGAAAATAAATATGGAGACCCAAATTTCTTTTGTTTTAATGTAATAAAGAAATTTTAAGCTACTTAATATAATCCAAGAGGAGTAACAAAAATCCAGAAAATTTAAGAACGCAATCCTTTGAAACATTTAATATCAGTCCATAGCAAATAGTCATTACATACCAAAAGCTCTAAGTGTTAACTAGTTCCACCACAACTCCATATAAATCTTGACAATTTAGAAATTTGAGAACAATAAAAGTTCTTTTCTTGATCTCTACAGCTTGGTTTGTAAGTACACACATGCTTTGAGGATCTGTTTCTTCCTCATATATTTTCAAGGAGCCGATAACTTTTTCCATCTGTGCCGAGAAGTGTTAAGAATTAAATCTAGTACATTTATCCTAACAATGAAACACTTAAAAGATGGGGCACATTGAATTTCAAATTTATAAAAATATATTGGTATTAACCAAAATCTTAAAGTTAGAGGACACTTCACATACACACAACATGACTTAAAGTATGCAGTAAAACATGACATGTACCTAGAACAGTTGGTTCCATGACTGTTTGTTTCACGCACACGCATTCATACCACACATACACACATACACAGCTGAATCCAGATCACCTGAAATCAGCAAACAGGAAATGGGTTTCTAGTTTGTGTTCCAGCAACTAGAGCAGCTACTGCAGACAACACTGCACAAATCAATTAAGTCCACCCTGTTCAAAAAGTGTCAAAGTGTTTCCAAAATTCTACTAATTGTCTGTCAAATGAGCAGTTGTTCTATGGCAGCTGAAAATGGACTCGAGCCAATGCAATCTACATTTTAACCATATATAATATATGATTGATACTCCAGTTTTAACAGTTCATCTGAAATGCATCAAATTGAGGCAACTTGTGTGCTTTGGGGTACTGACAAGGGCACCAAGTCTTAGTGAAAATTGGTTCTCTTTCCCTTTCATTCCTACCCCAAATTTACAAACTAGACATTCTTCTGCTGTTAACTTAAAAAAAATAATCTCTCCTTCCCCCCAATTTATCTATTGCCAGCATAGGACTGCTATGAGAGAATATTTTAACTTAAAGCCATTGTTTTTCTTTTCTTTGGGGAGGGAGGTTTATTTTTTTAGTTAAGATGGCACTACACATCTAGTATTAAATTACATTCAACAATACCTGCTTGGAAGCCAGAATGAGCTTATTGGCAAAATTGGGTAGTTTTCCACCAAGGGCTTCATATTAATATCTATTTTGTTCCCCTCATATAAGAACTAAGAACTTAAAACAAGGGAACAAAGCCACACATTTACAAGACTTTTTAAAGGGGTGTGTAAAAATAAAATTGCATTTATCCTTTTGTGCTCCTACTTTTAAAAAAATGACTTACCTGATAAGCTTAGAACCTTTGTGACAAAATATTATAGTGATTTATAGCTGGTGCACTTATTTTGGAACTAATGGGTATACAAAACTAAGGTGAAATGAATCTCCCTTCTGACAAATCGTCTCCTATGGTCAGAGTTAAGATACGCCAACCACTAGCAATTGCTCCAATATTTACAGCCAAGAGTAGAAATGTATTCTAATGCTTGAAAATGAATATTACAGATACACCTATTCCACCTCTTCTTCCCTTCAAACAACAGATTAACTAGGCTTATTTAAAATATTACAACTGTACAATTTAATCCACATACAGTATTTGAAAAATGTAGATTGCTCACCAACGAGGAATCTTAGCAATGTTAATAAAGGTGGTTATCTTTATAGTCAGACAACTCTTGATTTTGTTTTACTTGGCTCAGTGCCATGTCACACACAACAAGGCTGCACCAGGATTTTAACTACCTCGTCTTAACAGGATCTTTTTAAAATTGCATAACCTGCATTATGCAGTTCAATTCAGAAGTATCACTTCCCAAACAGATTTTCCTCTTTCAGCTCTGAACTCAAGTAATTATATCCATTAAAAATATTAATCTAGGAATACCTTAATGAAGGGAAAGCAAGAATAGTCATGTGCCCATTTTGGTGCACCAATTAATTTCCCTTAGGCACTACGCATTTTAAGGTAAGGAAAACTATTGGCTTAGATTTTATTCACTGATACAGGTTCTATGCTAATACCAAATTTAGTAGCAAGCAGAAAACAGGTAGTGTAAATTACGCTGGTACATATCTGATTGTCTGCTCCTGGCTTCCATTCCAATCTCCTAACATAGTTTTGAGTTAGCAACCAGTACCAGAAGCATGTCAAGTAATCCAGCTTTAAAGTCTTTTGAGATACAGAATGGGAGTATCTGCAAAGGTAAAATGTTATATTGCCATAAAGAAAACCATTAAGTCTTCTAATAAGTGTAAGTCATGAGCTGAATGTGTGTGAATGATCAGCTAAAACAAATATAAAGTAAAATTATAAAAAATAAACAAATGAGATGAGCTGAAGTATGGATGAAATTATTCCCAAATACATTAGAGGATATGGCAGAAAAGCCTGTTATTAAAGATTTATTCATAAACCTCATCTATGAATGCATATATATCTATCTGGATTATGAAAATGGTGTTCTGTGTCCAGGAAAACTAAGCAACTACATGATGTGCATGGAATACCATTTTTTTCTACTTTGGCAGTATTTGAAGAAATTCAGTCAGCAGCCTCTGATCATAATACTAAAAGAAAAAAGTAGCAAGTGAAGGGATGAAGGGATTCCTCACTATATAATCTGTGCATTTAAAAACAAAACATGCACAAGAAAGGTAATTTTCCTTCTATATGTGGGTCTTTCTCCTCAAGAAGTCAGAGACTTTTTTCATTTCTGGAATCTACTTAAGCTGGAGTCAAAAGGATTCATTTATTCTTTCATTATTTTCTGTTCATTTTACACTTAAGGATGGACTTAAGTGCACTTCCACCTTTTATCTAGAAGGGAGAAATTCTGCTGAATGGGCAAATATCAGGCTTCTTTTCTAAGAATTTTATTACATGTCTTTTGCACACAGAAAGTTAAATGGTAAATTTCTAATGCTAGGCAATTGACAGCACCACCTCAGAAAATGGTTCTGGGGAAAAGTGTGATATGGAAAGTTTGTACAATGTACATAGTAAATTCACAAGATACAGCCAACTCACTGATTTTTGAAGATAATGCTACAAGTAGTACCCTCATTTTTGATCTTATGTTTCAAATGAGAACCATTGCACAAGTTAAGGCCAATTTGGAATTTTCATTTATTAACATAAATTACATTGTAATTGTTTAGCTGGCGTTTCTGAAAGCTCTCAAATCATTTTGTCGGTAAACAAAGTTTCTTCCTTAAAATAATACTTTAAATAGTCTGTGTAAAACTCCTGTCAGCCAAATTGTCTTACACAGCACTCCAGAGGTTATACTGCATTCTCTTGTAGATGACACTTTTTAAGCTGGTTTAAATTCCAAACGTATACAAATGAAATCATTTTAATGCTATAAATAATTTATCTTTTAAAAATTGTGCTGTTAACCCCCTTGCAGGGCAACAAGCTGTGTGAAAAGTACAAAATCTTTTGTCAAATGTGATACTGAGTGCTTTTCATGTCATTCACTGGTTTAACATCTGGGTTTAAATATATTGCGCGACGAGCAAGGCTAGAATCCATGAACCAAGCTGCAAAGATCCAAAGCTAAATAAGGCGGAGAGACTCAGAGAAACAAGAGAAGGAAATACTTTCCTATCCAACATGTACTCTTCAGACTAAAGCACTCTTTCTATCAAGCCTTCTAAACTGTTAAATAAAAGAATTTCCAAACAAGCATTTAAACTTCATTACACAGAAGAGCAACAATAACAGTAGTCTGCCTGACAAAATGGCAGAAGGGAAAAATGTATATACGGAGTTCAATGGTTAGCCTGAATGTAGCACAGTTCTTCACAACCGATGGGGTTTTTTACTTCAACATGGTGTCCAACAACGTTCTAACGACGTGCTTCATCTCAACTGTTTACTATGAAGCAAGGTGGTAAAATGTTTGGCCCCAGTTGGGCTTCAGAAATGGTTCTTGTTTTCATGACGAGCATGTCTGTCCAGCTATCAATCATGTTTGTTTGCACCAAATCCCAAGCCATTTAAAATACGACTAAATTTAAGTTAAACAGAAGTCGTCTGCTCCAAATTCACCATCAACTATCCATGCTACTGCATTCCTCTAAGGGGGAAAATATGAAATGTAAAAAAAAAGTATTAAGAAAGTCATCAATAAAATATGAATATACATATGTATATTCTTACTCATAAAAGGCATACAGAAAGCCCACTCAAAGTAAGCAAACAACTATAGTATCTATCATATTCTGTGTACACAGCACTGCTCAACAGATTTAAAAATAGAGTGGGCCAGAAAACAGTTTGATCTTAGCTGGAGAAGAAGACAAAGGGAACCAACAAACCTAGGATCAAGAACAAGATCAAGTATCTGTAAGCCAAGAGAGTAATGTGAAGTGTGGTTCAACGACTGTACTCTATTAAGCAAAGTCAGAAGGACCCTTAATGGTAAATGTCCAATATTTTGTTCTCAGCTTGCTCTGTGGAGGTATTCAACAAAAGTATCTGGATCATCTAAGTTCACATGTTCAAAGGGATAAAGAGTGGCTCAAGAAAAATATATGTTGTAGCTGGCTATTCAAAGGTAAAAATATCCAATTTGTAATACGTAGTGAACATGTTTGGTATGCATGCAGTAGCCATGTATTTCTGTGAGAGGTCCACATGATGGGAAAAGCAGTACTGTAGATCTAATCACTGTTCCTACAGAAAGAGCTAAATTATGTTGTGTTTAGGTAAATGTGTTGATTCATGCTCTGTAGCTATACATGCCTTGAGTCATCTTTCTAGGGTTTGCACTTGAACCCTTTTCCATCAAGGAGAAATGGAAAAAAGCAAGTTAAATGTCAGTCTACTTTTCTGTCTGAAACTGGTCCTCTATGCATATCCATCCTTTGCTAGGCCCTCTCAGAAAAGTGAAAGGACTTAGAGCAGAAGGAAAGGAAAGCAAGTGACAGAGATATGTGGAAATGTGTGTTTGCTTTTTGACAAAGGTGGGTTATACAGAGATTTCCATTATCTTTCTGGGATGCAAACCAGTGGTATTTGATATAATGTGGCTCTGTTCTGACATCCAGGCTGACATTTCAGTCACAAATGGAATCAAAGCAATTACTGATTTAGTGGTTTTAATGAAAGTTCAATTGGAACAGTCCCCATAAGGTCCTGGATGGTGACCTCTAAACTCCAAGGGATGTTAATAGTGGCATTCCTCTAAGGCACTGGTTCTTAACCTTGGGTTACTCAGGAGTTTTGGACTGCAACTCCCAGAAGCCTTCACTGTGCTGACGGGTTTCTGGGAGTTGCAGTTCAAAAGCATCTGAGTAACAAAGGTTAAGAACCACTGCTCTAAGGAATCTCTTCAAGTGTACAAGAGATCTGAGTTGACTATTGCTCTTATTAGAAAGCAGAGAGGAAAAGAACTGAAAGTTTTAGGCATGGGGTGTGAAGACCCACATTAAAGCCACCTGTAAAAATCCCATGAGTTCATTCTTGCCCACCATTTGGCACTGGACTGTTATCTGTATCATCTAATGAAGGCCTTCTGCAATGTCCTATATATATGAATTGGAGGCGGTCTATTTGGGCTCCAGGAAGGTGTTCTTCTTCTCAGCAGCTAGACACTGTCAAGGATCCAGATGTTGAATGTAGAGGCAGTACAGTACTCTGAGAAAAATGTTTTGACTTGCTATGGGGATTTTTGAGAATCAGGGCCTTCATGGCCAAAACTGTTCTGCTCTAATCTTCCAGAGCATCTTGGAGATTAGAAATATGAGAAGACAGTATATAGAGGCCTCTACTTCCAAGAAGAGTTAAGGGCGTTTTTAGTTTCTGCCCTGCTCATTCTCTATTTGGTGACATAGTAGGGGATAGGTGTAAAATGTTGTGATTTGCTGGGAGATGCCAAGGGGTCTAGAACTGGATGGCTGAAGCAATCATGTATGGCTTGAAACAGGGCTAGACGTAGACTCCATTTCACCAAGTCCAGATCTGAACAAGTTCAGAACCTCCTTGATGTGCCAGGTAGAGATGGACAGCAGGCTGATCTCTACTCTGGGCAGTAGTAGTTAACCCACTGTTGAATGCCTCCTCACCTCAAACGGAGAACTATGTACATTACCCTGAGTTCAGTGGAGGAAAAATGGAATATAAATATTAACAATGAATAAAATACTATAACTGAATCTTGCAAGCTTCTTCCATAAAAATTAATTTTATTTACCTTCAATATCCTGGTTGTCTACAAAAGGTGCTGGTCCCCATATTCTAACAGTGCCATCATCGGAGGCGCTGGCCATCATGGATGGAATCTGCGGGTTCCAGCTCACACAGTTGACAGTACGTGTGTGCCCCGTCAGCTCCGCAATTGGCAGCTCGCTACGTTTGTGCCAAATATATACTTTGTGATCTAAGACAGACAAGTTTGAAGAAAGATGAGCACCATCCTACAATTTAAGCCATAGTCTAAAGCAAAAATGGTTTTATCTATATATTGACTGTTTCCACCATGTTAACATTCCATGCATGTCCAACAACAGAAGTCTACCAAACAACAGCATCAGGAAAATTCCTCCCACAGTCATCCCACATTTAAAATCATGTATTTAAACTAACATGAGCTAGATTGGCTCAATTAAAAAAAAAAGCCAGAGTCTCTAATCTGCAAGACCTGAGCAGGGCTGTTACCAAGAAGAGCTTTTTAAGATCAGAAATTCACAGGGTCAGAAGTGATTTTAGAGAACAAAACAACTGAAATTAGCAGCAAGTACTGACCATCTCTGCAAGATGAAGATATACATAACTGGAACATGTTATATTCTAAAGCAGGCTTTGTATTATCCAAGGACAAGCTAATTTAGACATTACTTTCTCTCCCAAGACTTCAATATAATGTCAGGATTGAACCATGCCCTAAGCTTCCACAGTTCTTCCATATGATACTTCTGACAGCCTCTTGGGCAGAAGCGGGCATGCTCCAAGGATCCAGTGATATGTTTTGCCCTCCCTGAGACATGGTACAGGTTGCACCCTTCTCAAACAGTGATGACTGCAATTCCTGACCACTGCCATCACAGGTGGAACTGGCTAGGAATTCAAGAAAAAAATAGAAAAAAATAATTGTAACAGTCTTGTCTTCAATAATGCAAGCCCTTTCACCCTTAACTCTTTGGGGAAGTTGATCAACAAGGGTCCTAGAGGCATTTGATATATAAGCCACATATTATCCACCTCTATGTAGAATCTGACTAAGATTGAATATTGAAGTTTTTTTTTAATGGATGTAACATATAGGATGTCCTGCATTGCATGCATGCCCTTTATACAGGGTTTCACCACTGCATGGAAGGTAGTAAGCAAGGTCAAAGCCTACTCTTTATTTCACCCCATGCAGCAGTAAGGAAAAAAGAGGATGTAACATCCAAATTACTCCCTACTAACAGGTAACAATCAATGTATCCGTGGACAAAGAAAGATTCATTTCAAAAATCTGAATTAAGATCAGTTTAAACTGCTAGAATGCATTTTAATACAGATGTATACCTATAACTTTATTGATAATATTAACATACTACACACAAAAGCCTACTCTGTGCCACTGTTGCTCCTGTCACTGGGCATGCATCTACTAACAAAAGGAGCTGTGACTATCCCATCTAATGGCTAATGGGAAGAGCATTTCTGGTAAGTGCTAATATCTTACAGCAATACACTTCTGATGGATACATAAATGTTTCCTCTGAAAAGCTTCTACAAAAAGAATGTCAAGATCTACAAGAGTGACTACAACTATTACTAGGACTTTCTCTGAAAATCTTCATGATGATTAGAATCTGAAATGTTGCATTCTATTCCCAAGCCTTGCAAATCATATTAAGACCTACTTACTAGATCATTTGACAGATGTGCTTTCTGTCCAAATTGGTTCATGAAGAGTTTTAAAAAATAAAATTGCCATGGCATGTAAACTGTACCAAACAGTCCTGCTTGTATTTCCATTTTTAATTTTCCAATTTTTAGCTAACCATAACATACACTCTGTGTAGCTTCAAAATAAACATGTTATTCACCTTCAGGTCATAACACTCTGCACTTACTCTCAGGAGGAGAGCTTTTATGCTATTTTATGTTTACACAGAGTCAGATGTGAACTTTGATCCCAGGGCAGACCTTTCGATGTTTGGGCTGGTAGGTGAAACGCCTACCTAGCTGAGAACATACCTTTACATTTAAGAGGTTATGACATTTAAATCTGTTACTTTTTTTGTACATAGAGCCTTTCACAGCAGCCACATTTGCAACAATTCAGTGCAAAGAGGCAACAGCCTCAGGCAGTCCGAATCTAAATAAGGTGCCATCAGCTTCAACTACAGCTGGGTAGTTTTTAGACACTGAAAATGAAAAAAATAAAAAGCTGTTCTAAGTTGATAAATTAATCTGCACATTCATGTAAAACAAACAGTAGGCTGTAACTAAGTGACTTGTCCATGCTGTCCTCAGTGATGTATAGATATACTGATACACCTGAAATCAATAAAAGCTGACGAGACACTTCTGGGTCAGGTAATATTTGAAAGGAGTTAAATGCATGTATAAGGACTATTAGCAATGGCAATTGCACTGAACATAAGAGGTTTGAATAATGGTACTATTCTCAGGTGAATGTTTACCAATTAAAGGTAAAAAGGAAGCAACGCTTCAATTTTTTTTCTTTTAACAACCTACCAATAATTACTCTCCTGCTGAGACCAAAGACTGAAGTAAGCCACACTTGCATTAATTAACCATACTACTTAACAATACAGAACAAGAATGTGAGAGTGAGTCAACATGTTACTCACATAACTGACAATGAAATGGTCAGAAGATAATCATGATTATTTCAGGTTGCTCACAATTAAAAATTACTGGATATACTAGATCTATGACAGGATATAAGTTTTGTTTCTTTCACCACAGCTAATTACATTTGAGATGATAAAATTCATTTGGATTGCAATGACCACACCTACCTTTGGTAGACAAACCTGTACCAAATAAAGGCTGTTACCTCACTAGAGAGCCATTTGAGAAAAAGCATTCCAATATATCACACTCTCCCTATCAAAACTACAGTCATTGCCATCAACAACAGCATCATACATCCTACCACTCATTCCACCCTTCTCTGAAGGGAACCCCTTGTGAACAGCATTATTATTTTTTATGGAAAATATAACGAACATCCACTTTTATAATGCAAAAGTACACATTCAGTATTTGTATATGTCAAACATACACATGTAAATTATACACAGGTCTTCAAAAACAAGTGTTACCTTCACTGCCACTAGCGATGAAGTCTTCATTATGGCCTCCGAAACATGAGTGAATCGTGTAAAACCCTTGTGTAACACCTTGGTACTTTCTCACTAAAACTCTATCTTGCAAATCCCATAAATGAACTCCCTGAAAACAAAGAGCAAAGTGGGACATTTTATTATAATGGAACAATAGCTTTCCATAATTTGTTTTCAGTATTTACCAAAAAAACCCACAGCTTAGATGGAAGAGAATACAAACTGATCTAATCCAGAACCATCTGTCCATTTTATGTATATAAACAATGGGTTGTACCCAAACGTATATCAGCAGAAGAACACTCACCCAAAATATTTACCCATTCTTCCTAATGCAGATCACTACATTTGTTCATTACTGAAACCCATACTATAACCTAAGAAGTCAAGTACATGCTAGCATGTGAGAATGGATTACTGAAAACTGAGAAGGAGGAACTTATAGCTTGCACAAACTGCTTTTACCCATATCTCCCTGATCCCTCATACACTGACACATCCAAGATCCCACCTAGGAGGCTGCAAATCCACAGGGAAGGTTTCAGGGGTGAGGAACAGAGAAAAAATAGGAAATTCATTGAAACTATTGGTCCATCTAGTTCAAGCTGTCTAGATTAACTGTCACTAGCTCTCCCAAGGGTTTAAGTGTGGGTCCTTTCCAGGCCACCCTGAAGACATCAGGAATGGAAACTTCTGCATGCAAAAGCACTACACCACAAAGCTATTGCTTTCCTCTGCAAGTTAATTAAAGTGGACCAGAGGGGCAGGAGAACGCGGGAGTACATGCCTTCTGCTTGCCTAACTTCTGGAAATCAAATTTCCATTCTGTTACTTTCTTCCATTTCGGGAGCCTGTTGCTGTACTGTTAATTGAGGCAGACTCATTATTGGGAGAGCCATTTTAGCATTTAATTTCGTTTAATTCTAGAAGTATTAAAAACTGAATACCAACTACTGTATCTATTAAAATGCCCAGAATTTACTGGTTTGTGTTGGCAAGGTGCATTTAACCTCAGCAATTTGTAGTCTGTGTACATAATAAAATGGATCTAAACAATTATTCTGGTTGGAGAAATCAAAGGCAGTTGAATGTAGTAGAAACCCTCAAGTGATACTGAAATTAGGGTGCTAAAACTAGACAACCTCACACACCATAAGCAGCTTGTTTTTATCTGTATTATTTACTTAAGGTGTTTGTACAATTGTCCAGTAACAAACTTCTCTTTGCTAGAGGCTTACAGACAAATAAAAAGTAATATAAAACAATATAATAAGAGCAATATAAAGTACGGCAAAGTGAAATTAATAGCATTCTAAAATTAAAGCATACCAATTTTAGAACTGAAAGGCCCAGACTGCAGAAGTTATTTTAAAGGTCTGAGTAAGCAAAAACATTGTCCCGAGAGAGACTGTTTTAATATATTTTTACTATTTTTGTATTCAGTCTTTTAAATTAAAAAAAGCCAAGAATTATCGCCAACCATAATTTCTTGGGTGATCATTCCCCTGATCCAAAGCTGCTCCCCTTTCCCTCGTGCTCCTCCTGTTCTTACAAAGCAAGGAAATGGCCTACTAGAGCAGTACTGTGAAAAATTAAGGGAACTTTCTTCCTTCTTCTTCACAAGACTAGGCTTTGAGAAAAAAAAAATAGTAGTATCATGAGCCTGTAATAGTGTAATGGGAACAAATGCAGACTTATTTCTTTCTCTTATTCTCCCCTCTTGTCACAGAGAAGAAGACATAAAGGCAACATAGTCAACCAGGCCCACTGTATTTGCTCAATCTTGGAAACAAAGTGGGACTAGACACACTATGGGGAAAAAAGAAAAGCACAGCAGAAATCAACTAGACACACATGGAAAATTAGTTTAAAAGGCAAGTGATTTTTAGCAAGAATGACATGTGCCAACACTCACTGAAGTGGAACTGTTGTATTTATAAACACACACATCAAATGCCCCATCCATTTACCTGAGTTGCTACGTTTAACAAAGCTAACCGGCCATTTTTTGAAATAGTAAAAGACATAATTGGATGATCTTCTTGGACTCTGAAAAAAAAACACCAGAAAAAAACAGAGCTATAATTTTTAATCAAAATGGAGCTTCTACACAATCTCAGAATCATTTAGTTTTAGAAATGAACAAATACAAAGGCCCCAATCACATCTGCACTAGCGTCTGTCCATTTAGGGTGAGTTTTTGGGAATTCCCATTTTTAATTGGCACATGCACTGGATGCAAAATACAAATCAAAGTTCATTTCAATGCTTGGTTAATTGTATAATACGATTACTTTAAGCAGGAGAACATTAAAGAGTTAATTACATGTTCCTGTCTGTAAGGTCCTCAAAGTTATAGCCCCGAATTCGCTGGTGTGTATCTGATGCCAGAACAGTTTTTCCATCACTCAAGCACCACAGACATTGAACTCTCACTCCTTCCCAGGAGTCAAGGAGATTACCATCTAAGTCCTAAAGAGGAAATACGTAAATAAATTAATTAGAAAAGCAGTCTCATTTAAAGTAATTGGTATTATGTAAAAAGTTGTATCTTGTCTCCAGATCAGATTTTAGTAAATGAGTGTGTTTTCTATATGTATCAGAAAAACAGATTCTATTGGCAATATGTTATGATGCAGTAGGAGACATCTGTCCATGTAACAGAACATCCTTCAGCCTTATCCCCATAGCAGCCCTGCCTCCCCCTTCTAGTCCAGACAATTCCGTACAGAAAATATAAGGGTTACTCCAAGTGAAGTTTGTTGCACTAAGAGACACAACTAAGAGGTATACTAAGAAGTTAAACCATTGCATAAATAAAGCACTTCACAGTAGTTTAGAGTAGAGATGAGGACAAATAAAAAAAGGCAATTCGTTTTGATCCGTTATTCATCAAGGTTAACAGATCAACAAATACAAATATACGAATATTATTTGACAAATCGACGGACTGATCTGTCGATTCGTCTGCACTTTAAACTGCTAGAAAACTGGCCCCTAAGCACCTAGAGACACCAAATTTGCAGGGAAGCTTCCTCAGACGCCTTTCTACAACTCCTGAAAGTGTGGTGAACATTAGATCACAGACCCCCGAGTTGTATAGTCACGAAGAGGACCCCCCCCAGGAAAGTTACCCCCAGGTACTTAGAGACTCCAGAATCACAATGGAGCTTCCTATGTCTTTCCCCAACACGCCTGCCAACTTTGGTGAAGATTGGATATCAGCCATCCAAGTTATTCACCCACAAATTGGCTCCCCCCAGGAGTGTTTACCACATGGCACAGAAGCCCATTCTGCCTATCGGCCGCCAATCACCTGATCAGAAGCCAACAGGCAGCCCCCCCCCCCCCCACAGCCAGCCACCACAACAGCCTACCTACACACCTACTTCCTTTCCCTACCGTAGCCCCCACCCCACTTCCACCAACACACCCTTACCTTAATAGCTGCTGCCAAGGTCTCCATCAGGTCTTCGCAGCCACAGCATGTTAAAAGGGAGACGGGCTGCCCTTTGCAAAGATGGCAGCTGCAGCTTCCCTACCCTAAATAAAGCTGCAGCCGCTATCTTTGTGAAGGGCAGCCAGTCTCCATTTTTACATGCGAGGCTCCAAGGCCAGAAGACCTCGGCAGCAGCGATTAAGGTAAGAGGGTGTCAGTGGGGTGGGGTGGGGTGGGGCCTAAAGTAGGGAAAGGAAGGGCGTAAGCTGTGTGGAGTGGTGGCTGCCTTTCTGCCGCCGATCAGCTGATCAGCAGCCAGTAGTCAGAATGGGGGGTGTGTGTGTTTTTTTAATACGAAGGACGAATAAAAATGGGTAAATATTCAACCCTTCATATTCATGGGGGTTTCTGGAACCCACAAATATGGATCAATGAATATTTAATGAATTGTCTATATTCATCAGAAAAAGCAATCCGTTTTTATATTCGTCCCCATCTCTAATTCCAAGTAATTTCCACCCATATTCCCCACTATCTGCAGTGTTTTGGGCCAAACGATTTGGGAAACAAAAAAAGAGTCACATTTATATGGAAAGAGGATTATTATAACATATATATCAGATTCTCTTGCATTTTTGGACCATTTTTTTCAATATATCCATATATGTCCACAGATATATTGCCGAAGAATCACAGCTATATTAAATTAGGCTCTAGTTCATGAAATTTTGTTACTATGTGCAATCAAGTAAATAATGACTTATGGCAATCCTATAAATTAATGACTTCCAAAAGTCCTATCATGAACAGCTCAGCTCAGCTTACAAACTAAAATCCATAGCTTCCTTTACTGAATCAATCCATTTCATTTTCAGTACTCCGCTTTCTGATTTCCTCATACTCTTTTTAATATTACAGTCTTTTCCAGGGAGCATTTTGCATTCATGATACGTCCAAAATAAGATTGCTTACATTTAGTGTTTTCAAAGAGAGAGAGAGAGATAGAGTCATGGAAGTTTCTGGTATTTATTTTCACAACAGCTACCACAATTCACCAGAAACTCCCTAGCCATTATTCTGGGACCTGCAGCCAAAAGATCCAAGCCCTCAGAGTGTGTGTGTGTGTTTAGTCATTTAGTCGTGTCCGACTCTTCGTGACCCCATGGACCAGAGCACGCCAGGCCCGCCTATCTTCCACTGCCTCCCGGAGTTGCGTCAAACTCATGTCGGTTGCTTCGCAGACACTGTCCAGCCATCTCATCCTCTCAGCCCTCAGAGTACATGGTAGCTTTTTTTTTTTTTTAAATCTACAACCTCTTGTAATTCCCACAGAACTTGGCAAGTCCTATCCATTTTCCCTCTTTGTAATGGTTGTAAAGAAGAACATGCTTGGCCTCAGGTTACATATGGTGAAACACATCTGAGGATGTGGATCTGTGGCAACAGGTGCTAGAATTTTGGCTGGGGGAATTCCAGTGAAATGCAGTAGCTCTAGTGAAAAAAAATCCAAACCTCTATTCCTAGAGTTCAGACTTTATTTGATCTATAACCCCATGCATTGTTTCTTGGGTGGTAAATAGTGTCCATAAAGCTCCCTTCAATACTGTATCTCAAATAAACTAATTTCCCCTCTCCACTGAAATCTTATGCTACAATAAATCTGCCAGTTTATTCATACTCTTTCATAAAATGAGACACATACATAATTTCAAACATTTTGAAAGGGATATCCTAGTAAAGCCATTTCCAAATTCCCACAGAGAATACATGAGGCTTCTGTATCAGAAATAGATGATTTTTAAAATTATTACTATAAAAGAAAACCAAGCTAGCACTTACACCAGACCTGGGCAAAGTGCGGCCCGCGAGCTGCTCCTGTCCGGCTGGCCGGACATCAAAACCATTTATAGCTTTCTGTCTAAAGTTGATCAGTTGCTTATCTTTGACATACTGCAAAAAACCTCTTTAGTATTTGTGAAGATTAACAAGTTTAAAATAAAAACAATCATAACATCACTGTTTCATTTTATTTTTAAGTAAAGTTGGTTTGGCCCCCGAACACAGTTCAGATTTTTCATGTGGCCCCCTATAGAAATTAATTCCCCACTCCTGACTTACACACTGGTAGAATTGTCCACGCTGTCCTCCTGTCACAAAACGTTTCCCATCTGGATTCCAGGCCACACTTGTTAAACTATCTTCATGAGACTGGCTCATCTTTGTCCTCAGCTCCCCTGTCTGTAAACAAAAATTATATAGAAATACATGAATGTCAATGTACACAAAATAACTTGGTTAAGTCCAACTTTCTGTAGCCAGACCCAGCAAAATACTCTGTCCCTTCCATCTCCTATTCAGCTCTCTGTGACTGCTGAAAACCAGTGCTGGAGGTTTTTCCAGCCTGCCGAAGCCAGCTTTTCTGTTGTCTGGGGTTTGCAGTTGGGGACAGTCCTCTCCTGTTCTGCAGGATTTTGTCATCCAACTAGTGGAGGCCACTGCTGGATAACATTCTTTGTCTATATCCTACTGATCACATTTTTAAAAAATACTCCTAAGTGCACATAAACTGGTTGGATATCTCAGTGAGTTATCTAGTTGCAAAGCCAGAGCTGGAAGTCTAATTCTCTACTGTGCTTCCCTAAAGTACAGCCAGTCTGTTTAGTCTTGGACAAGTTGCACAGTTCCAGAGTGACCCCAGAAGAAGGGAATGATAAATCATTTCTGTGTACTACTTGTATATACCTAGAAAACCAGGAAGAGATCATTATATGTCAGAAGTGACTTCATGGCATGCAACTATTTGATGATGATAATGATGATGCACACATATGTACCATCTAAGGATAATATCTCACATATATATTTGAAGCAAGCTCTAGATAGTACTTAAAGTCCTATCTTGCCACATAATCTTACAGATGATATATTGTAAAAAAACACAACTACTGTACTGAAATATCTGTTGAAAAATGATATTTAAGTAAAAGATTGCTGGAATCGAAATGTCTGCTTCCCATAAGGCAATAATGGAATCATTCTGCTGGACATGAACTGTAGACGATTGTCCCTCTAAATAGTTGGTTTCCACTCCTGTCAGTCCTGGCTAGCATAGCTAATGGTCTGGAAGGTTGAGAGTTGTAGTTCAGCAACATTTTGAGGGCTGCAGGATGCATATTCCTGCTATTAGGAGTTCAAAAGCAAAGGAACTACAGTATGGGAGAAAACTTTCTGCTGCTGTATCTCCTCCCTGCAAGCGAGTAAGAATTAGGTTTCTCGAAGTGTATGAAGGTCAGCTCTAACCAGGACCCAGAACACTTGGAACTTTAAGGATTAAAACTAACGTCTTCAAATTGTGCTCAAAAAGTAAATCAGAATCCAGCCCTGTATTTTAGCACCAGTGTGATGTGTCTCCTTCAGCTCAAGTTATGCAGCACAGTGACCAAGATTTTTCTTCAGCCACAGTTAACACAACTAGCTTAAATTAATAGAAAGCACTTTTGGCCACAGCTACTGCCTGCAAGTCCAACAGAACTCTTAAGTTATGCATGTCATACTCAGCAGTAGTGCATTGTTCATCTACAACATAGGAGGCACCAGTTACCAGACCCATCAGGGCAAAATGCATTAATAGCTTTGCCTTACCTGAACTTAACTTCAATATATTTCATTCTCAGTAAGCCTGATCACCATTCCATATCAGCACCATGGAACTGTTTGTATATAACAAAGGAAGAGGAAGAGCAGCCAGGCAGACCTCCAATTGTTCTACTCCCTTCAAATTCCAATTACCACTGCTCTTGCCATAGAGGGAGAAGACAAAGAGAAGGCAGACACACTTCCACACTGTACCTTCCTCTAACAGCGAAGCACTGAGCTTATTTCCCCCTCTTCTTCCTTCACTTCTCTTTTTCCTTCTGAAACTACAAGCCTGAAGGCAGGGATTATCTTATTACTTCCATTGGAAGCCACTGTGAGAACCTATCTTGGCTGAAAGGTGGGGTACACATGAATTAAATGAAAAAAATGCAGTATGCCAAGTTTAAGTCACACTCGAAGTACTGCTACTTCAAAACTCGAATTCTATTAAAGCTTCACAATATGCAAGGTTTGATTTGTCCCTAATAAATATTTCTAAATGAGAAGTGTTTCTGTGCAGATGCACAATAAGACAGAAAATTCTATTTTAACTCAATTTAACTCTTGCACTATAATTGATATATATAAAGTGTAGCTTTAAAATAATTACTTATAAAGATCTTTAAGTAAACAGAAAACAAAACAAAATTTTTGAGATGCCACAAAGTTATACCAATGTTATATAAAAACTGATACTTCATTCAACACTGCAAAAAGAAAAAGGGAAAAAAAACCAGCCACAAACACACAATTCTTTTCTGACTGGTTTTTAAAGTATTTATATTTTTAAAAAATGTGTTTTTGTAACCTTTACTAGTGAGTGCTACAACCAAAACTATCAAAGATTCTTGGTAGAAATTTAAGGAAAAAAGGTAGTGTACCCAATCCTGAAGCAAACAAAAGGTTGATTTCCCTGCCCTGCTGTTTTCACTGCTATTTTGTTTGCTAAATTTATCTATTTACATCAAAATAACATTCAGAAGATTTAATGATAAAACTGTTCTTTTGAGTAATTTACAAAGAACTAATGGGGCTTCCGAGAAATCAATTAGAGCACCAGTGCTAAGAGAAGTTTCTGGTGGCACTCAAATGTAGTTAATGGCATCCCTGGAATAATACTGGAAAGAAAGATGGAACAGAAATTAATTACCTGTTTTGAGTAAGTACCTGCATGTTCCTGACAGATTTCAATTTCTCAAAGATCCCAATTACTGTATGATTCCTGCAGTGACACTACTGAACAGGATATATTTCAATCCAGAACTTTTATACAGTGGTGCCTCGCTTAGCGAATGCTTCGTTTAACGATGAATTCGCTTAGCGAGGGGGTTTCTGGGGGAAACTACTGCCTCGTATAGCGAGGCAGTCTATGGAGGAAACTCGCATACCGATGGAACGGATTAACCGGTTTCCAATGTATTCCTATGGGAAATGGTGCTTCACATAACGATGTTTTCACATAACGATGTTTTGTTTGGAACCAATTAACATCGTTATGTGAGGCACCACTGTATTATAGTTCTTACCTGTACATTCCAGAGCCAAAGTTCAGAGCAGTCATCTGGGCCACAAGCAACAAGGTAGTTATCATCTGGACTCCAAGCAATGTAGGAAACGCCATATGCATGGCCTTCCAGTGTCTTGAGCAGTTTTAGCTGGTGTGTATCCTTTAAAAGAAAATTAAAATTCTGGCTACTTGGGTTGTTGTCAAGATTTCAGTTTAAGCAATTACCTTTTAAATCCAGTCTGTCCCCAATTCTTGAACAGTACAGTAAAGCAACAAATCAAAGACCAGGATATAGGAATTCTTTATTGCCAAGTCCAGTTACCTTTGGGTAAACATGCAATTGCTTTTTGTTTATTTTACAGAGTCAAAGTGAGAAAAAGGCTATAGCAGGGCAAACTGAGAAAGAAATTAGCTGGAAGCCATGCAACTGAATAAAAATTGCCTCCTTAATGAAGTTCAATAACTGTCCTTAAAACTAACAAAAGAGAAGCAAGATGCTCTCAAATAGTTACAGCATGTAGGAATTCAAGATTGCAGTAATATACGAAGGAATAGGACCACCAATGAAAGTACTTCCTATGAAATTTAAGCAACCACTCCATGGCATAATCTATTTGAACACCAGAATTTGAAAGGTAGCAGAAAATTTTAGAAGCAAAACTTGATTTAAGTGTATCAAGCTTTAGAAAGGATTTCTAATAGCAATGGGGGATTCATATTCATCTTCTGGGGGAGATGAATATGAAAGCCCGCCATCATAGTTGGCATGATTAACCACCACCATCACCCCCGCAACCAGGCATCCACTTACAGCTTACACTGTGCCACATGCTGCCATTGTTCTTCTTTCTTCGTCTATTGTGGAAGTAGCTTGGCTGGGGACTTCGTGTCTCCTTGTGCTGCTGGCCAATCTGGTGAGGGGTCAGGATGACAAGCCTCTCCACACAGCTGCTGATTGGTCAGCAGCACAAGGGGGCACAGAAACCCCAGGCAAGCTACTTCCACAATTGGCGTGGAAAGAACAACAGCAATGTACACCATACTGTAAGTAGATGCCTGGTTGCAGAGGGAAGGTTTAATGAGGCCGGCCAACTGTGATGGTGGGCTTCGTATTCGTCTCCCACCAGAGATGAATACGAATCCCCCATCTCTAATTTCTAACACATCCTATGACTCTGTTGAATGCAGGGCCTTACTTCAACTGTCAATAATAAAGCTGTGTCAGCTTTTGTACTGCCTGATCTTAGAGGCTGATAAATACAATAACATTTTATAATTGCATACAAAACTCTGGCTCTGCTTTTTTGCATTTTGCAAAGTTAATCTCACATTCACAGAAATCCCAAGGATCCTATTTACAAATCTTCTAGTTTGTAACATTTTGGTATTACTCTGTTATACTCTGCTTTGTAGGTAAGCTAATCATTAGCAGATTCACTTACACTTGAGGAATTTGAGAAGGTATTAAGGAAGGGAAAAACAAATTGAGTGTTTCAAGCTAAAAAGATGTCAGAAAGGAAGGTGAAGGATGAAGAGAAACATATGCATCGAGGGTGGATTGTAACACAGAGGTTTTAAAGTTCAGAGATAATTGATCTGCAGACATTGATCTGTAATGGGGAAAAACTCCAATTAGGATACAGCATTTGTATGGAGAAACATGGCCAGGTCTAGTAACAGGCCTATGGCAGATTTCAGATAGATTACTTTTTATCTAGAACCCCAGAATCCAAATATAGCCATCTGCAAATAATAAATACATACAGTAGGTGAATAGGAATGTATTTTTAATATGAAAAGTGAATAAATCACAGAGTCCTTTTGAAAGTAAAAACCATTTTTGTTGCCCCAAATTTTATTAATTTCAGCACCTTAAAGGGGGGGGGCACACATGCAATACTACTGGTACTGCTGATGAACAACTAGGAGTCAGATACCCTCACCTAGTTATTTCAACTCACTCAATCTTATACCTCCTACCCAACTAAAGAGCACCATCTTATGGAGAGGGTAAGTCAAATCACAGTGATGCTAGCAGTTTTAAACAAGATTTACTCCCAAAATTGCAATGATTTTAACCCAGATTTAATTAAGGATTTAAAAGAAATTACTGTCTGGTCCAGCCTTCCAGCCAAAATAAATAGGCACAAGTCATCAACATGTCACTCCTAATTAAACGGTAGAGCAAGCTATCCAAATTTTGAGCAGTAATTTCAGGAGACTCAAAGGGAAGAGTAATACTGTACATTTTTTTCCAGGACTTGAGAACATTCAGACATACAGGTTTCTGTATACTTACTGGATCAACCTGCCATATAATAACAGTTGTATCCTTGGATCCTGTTGCTAGTTTAGTGCCATCATTGGAAAATTTGCAGAACCACACTTCATTACAATGTTCTGTAAGTATCTGCTGTGTGTAACATGGGAACTGTTTCCTAAATAAGAAGCATAGAGAGAAAGTTAAAGTCAATTATTTTATTTCAGAAGCTATATATATCAAAATCAAATATAGAAAACAGTCATATTAGCATAAGGCAAGGCATAGTAACGAAAGGGAGAGAAACTCACAAAGGTACATAAAATCATTTGTTTATGTGCAACGTACTCTTTTTCTCAACTTGGCACACTAGTTCCTAGTGATTGCAATATGAAGCCCTTGTAGAACACAGACAGAATTCAGAGGATGGCATCCTTTATTAACTGCATGTAAGCAACTCCAGGAGCCCTTTTTTCTGAAGAGCAGGATAAAAAGACTATAAATACTTCTATGCACCCATGAACTTTTGAAGTTCTCTTTGAATTACAATCTTAAACACTTTTAGGCAAACAGCCTTTGAAACAGATTGTGAAATGGCACAAGCAGAGGCTCCTGTGTAGATATAAAGCACCGTAGACGTGCTTAAGCCTGTCACTGCACCTAAAGGAGCCTCTGAATCATGGCCATATAAAGGGAAGACAAGCAGGGCCCCAATGTTGGTCAGACACTTACTTGAGTGTCAATCACAATGAGTTGTACAAGATTTTATTTTGGTGAAGAAGTCTTAAGCAATAATTTCGGGAGATTTAATTCTTAGGTAAATGGAAAACAGAAAAATTAGAAATATATAACAAAACATTGTTCTTCAAGATTTATTTCTAAATTATCACCTTCTTGGAACCTATTACTACAGTCTTAAACATAGCTAAACAGCTGAAATCTTACCACATTCTATGGGATTTAACATAACTGGGTGTTACAACCCAAGCTACCATAATTATTCAAAAAGAAATATGCAATCTTAAGGCTGCATTAGAATATATATTACCTAATAGTACATACCACTTAATTATGTCCAGTTTATTTCCACATAGAAATGTACAGGACTGCTTAGTAAACTATTTCTATAAAAGGAGAATCTATGAGACACTGATCAAAGTCCTATTAACATATGAAATCACACTAGAGTAAACCACTGAATCAATGGCAATTTGGTAAGTCAACTCCTCCACAGATTCAAATGGACCTCCTCTAACTGCAACTGTAAAGAAACTTATTTGAACCTATGGAGGAGCTGACTTACTAAACCCCCAGTGATTCAGTCTAATCTAGTTGCAGCTTACTACTGTATTTCAGCCACTGAGGACTAGTATGTAGCTGACCAGATGCTTGCGCTTGAATGAATCATTTTATAAAATTTCTCTCTTCATCTTATTTGTTACCCTGTTTTAAATACATATAACTTGATTATTTATGTATTTCACAACAAATGTTTCCCAGACATCTCCTGGCATATTTTCTATGCAAAAAGGCAACATTCTTAAGTAAGCACATTAACAAACAAAAAAATCTTACTGTTATTCATTCAAAACTATATATAAATAATTGTTTTAAAGCATTTTTTGTATTAGAAAACACTGACATTGTTCTTAGTTAAGTTTTATTATACAGTCATTGACCCAAAAATTAAAAGATAGAAACATAATACAAGATATACAGAATAAGTAAGCTGTTAGAACAGCTCAACAGTATAAAACTTTAGTCAGGTGGTTGTCTTAATATAACATTTTACGAATTCTTAAAACTGAGAATAAAAACTTAGCCACCAACTGTATTATTAATTGTTCTTAAAAACCGTGATTTTCTTACCTACTGCAAACATGGTCTATGAGCAGCGATACAGAATCTAGATTATTATCTAGTTTGGTGTTGTGATAGAGGCACCGGTCCCGTTGTAGCTCTACAGCCTGGCGCAGTAAATTCTGCAGACGCCTTGGAGGGAGCATCACTGATGGTGGTAGGTAAGCTTCAACAAATTAAAAGGGAACTTGAGTGTCACCATTGAATATTAAACTTGGGCCATTTTTAAGAAACAACAGAATATTTAACATTTAGTGTTCTTATACTGGACTAGATCAGATTTAATCGAAGCTAACAACCTAACTACTTGGAGACCTTATTTAAGTCCACTTACAGTGTCTATAAAACTACTGTGATTTCTACACAAGGAAATGTAAGACTGTTTAATGACAAACAATACAACTGAAAGAAAAAAGTCATTACTGCAAACTGTGACAAGGGTCTACATCCCAGCAAAGACAGTGTCAAGGTGCTTGATTATGTAGAAATGATACAAATGCAAGATACAGCAAACAGCTGCTAGTACAGTGGTGCCTCGCTTAATGGGCACCCCATTTAACGACGAAATCGCACAGCAATGAAGATTTTGCAATTGCATTGCGATGTTCCCTATGGGGAAAAATCGCTTTGCGATGATTGACACCCTGTTTCGCTTACCGATCATCGCAAAGCGATGATTTTTAAACAGCTGATTGGAAGTTCCAAAATGGCCACGGGGTAAACAAAATGGCCACCGCCGCTGTGTTTTCGCGCCGATTCCTCGCTTACCGGGCAGCGAAAATGGCGGCCGTATGGAGGATTTTCGCTTAAAGGTGAGCCTGAAGCCCATAGGAACGCATTGAAGGGGTTTCAATGCATTCCTATGGGCTTTCTAAAATCGCATAGTGACGAAATCGCTTTGCAGCTATTTTTGCTGCACCGATTATCGTCGCTATGTGAGGCACCACTGTACTTGAAATACAATAGTGTATGAACAAAATTACACAATTAGACCTTTCTCTCTTCAGAAGCCAAAAAATCTTATCCAGAAGGCACTCCTACTCCTGGAAAGCACACAAAGTGCTGTATGGGGAGAAGGGAATCAAACCCTTTTGTTCTAACATAAGCCATTATTTTAGCAGGAGAGCTTCACTAGATACAATGCAGTCTCTGAAATCCAGTAATAACATGCAACTACAATAGGTTCATTCAATCAGCGAGGACTAGGTGAGTTTACTCCTATGTATGTTTTACTGATTCACTGGGCCTATTCCAGTTGCCCTCATAGAATCGTGATAGGGTTGGAAGGGATCTTAGAGGTCTACTAGTCCAACCCCCTACCCAAGGCAGGAGACTTCATAGCATCCCCAACCTCATACCGTCCCGCACGGATGGCTGTCCAATCTTTTCTTGAAAACGTCCAGTGATGGGGCACCCACAACATCGGGAGGCAAGCTGCCCTGCAAGATTCATTTCTGGATTTCAGCTAGTAAGTTTTGTCTTTACAAGGCTCTTAAGTTACCATCATCCAGAATTATTAAACATTCTGAATCTGTCCCTTTGAAATAAAATATCCTGGTGATTTAGACAGGCAGAAACTGTATACTGACTGAAGAACTAAGGTTTTCCTTACTCTGGAGCTTGTCCAAAAGTTTAGATCTCGAAGTTGTTCCTTTCCCTTCCCATTCCGCTTTTGCGCGCAGATCTTCTGCATGACTACACATCAGATATCTGTTTGTATATTAAAAAGAAACACATGGATTAAATATTTTGGAACTACAGAGCTTTTTCAACTTCAAAAGCATTTAAACCAAATAAATTCCATTTATACTTCTCTGGCATAAGAAAGTTTAATGGACTTAGTAAAAGGTCTATTAACACAGGAATCTAAAATCCTTAATGTCTTGAAGCATTTGCTTTCTTTGTTTAACAAAGCTCAAACGCATTGATTTTTAAAGCCTGCACAACTAACTGTCTAAAGAGGCTGCTCAAATATGGAAACAATGAAAAGTAAACAGAGGAAGCCAGTAAGATACTGTACTGTTTTTAAAAGCATTTAACATGATTTCCCTATACATATTAATGAAAAATTCCACACATTGTTCAAGTATGATTCTGATTAAGAACTGGTCTGTTTAGATATCTATGTTTTAATGTACATGGCTTTTTTCCTGAATCTACTGACAAACAGCAAAAGAAGAGTACAGAATAGTCATAATTTCACTATTAAACCATTTTACTACTGAAATGATGTCACTATTTAACTAAAAACAAGCAAAGCCCAATTAATTAAAAGCGTAAGTACTCTGATAGGACAAACCCAAGAGGGTTAGGTGGTTGTTCTACTACAATGGGATTTTCCCCAGTCACCAATAGGCATGGGAGTTTTGGATTTTTCTCCACTAGGAATAATAGCTTTATGAGAGGCCCTTGACTGGGCCTGATGAACAGAGAGGATACCATCCAGTAATGCTCTGCTGTTCCCATGGAGCATAGAACACTCCACCAATGTCTATGTTTTAGCAGCCGTCTGCAGAGAAATTCTTGGCAAAGAACAGGTGAGGATCCCAAAATTCCTCTGAGAATCTAATATTTTTAAATAACTGATTTATTGATTGACTTACTGATTAAATTACCAGAGTTCTAGGAGTGGGAGTTCCTGCTGAATTCTGGAAGTTGCAGTGGGAAGAAAAAATCTAAAAACCCCATGCCTATTCAGCAGTTTTCAAAACTCTAATTAAAACATTCCTATAAAATACTAGTAGTCTCAGAACAACAATGGAAAGCTCGGAATACATACTGAAAGGCAAATCACACTGAGTTCAAAAGGACCTGATCTCAAATTATGTATGCACCAGATTACAGCCCATGCACTTACCCACTGAGAATGTGAATTCGTTCTGTGTTGTATTTCAGTGGTGTCAACTCACAACGCAGAACTTGAAGTGCCTCCAGAACCTTACCATCCTCCAGATACTCCAGATACTTTTGCTGCAGCAGCAAAAACTTCATCCTCTGACATGACAGAAAGCAGCAGGTCAGGTAGGGAGAAAAGGCTGACTGAAATTTCAGAAAACATTTGAGCCTAAACAAAAGAGTATAGACCATTCAACAATGCCCTTTAGAAATAGAAATAGGTAGTTAAATGTTTTGAACTGCCTTTTAGCATTGACAAGACAAAAAGATTAATAATACTCACTGGGAGCAATGCAACTGCTAGACTGTGCCATTTTATGACAAAAACTGCAAATTATCTCATTTCTCTCACATTTTCCCATTCTGATTACCTACACCTAGTAACAAAGGGCATCTACCACCAGCTTCAGCCATTCCTAGACAAGAATTGAAGGGCCATAGTGATCCACATGTTTGTTATTTCTAGATCGGACTACTAGAATACACATTATGTAGAACGAATCTTGGGACTGATTCAGAAGGTACAGCTACTGCAGAATGTGATACCTAGATACAAAACCTTCTCATACTATTGAGCTAAAAACTCTGCAGTTGCTGCCAATTAGCCATTAATAATCATCCTCAACTTCAAACTGCTGAGCTGGAATGGATCCTATGATCACAGAGTCCAGCCTCTATCAAGGAGGCACAGGTGGAAAATCAAATTTCCAACCTCTGGCTCTGCAATCAGAGACAAAAAACTACTGACGGAGTTATCCAGCAGTTCCTAACTATGTTCAAGGTCTTACGGTTGGTATATAACACCCTAAATAGCTCAATGTCATCCAAGAGAGTACCTTCTTTCACATATAAGAAAACACTTTCTTGATCTCTATGTTCTCTTGCCCTGAGGTCATCCGGAGTTGTGGGGCCTGGTGTTATCAGTATGCTGATGACACCCAGCTCTACCTCTCCTTTTTTTCAACTGTAGTGGATGCTGTTCTCACACGTGAACGCTGCCTGGGAACCGTTCTGGAGTGGATGAGGGAAAATGGACTGATGTTGAATCCAGACAAGACAAATCTTGTGGGTGGGTGGCCCTGGTGTCAGTGGGTTGGGAAACTCCCTCTCCTTTAGGGGAGTGACTCCTCCCACGAAGAGTAAGGTTCGCAGCTTGGGCATCTGCCTGGACCCGGATCTCACCATGAAAACCCAGGTGGCATGTGTGGTCTGGGCAGCTCATTTCCATCTTCGGAAGATTGCCCAGCTGCGTCCCTATCTAGATGTGGGGGCACTCACAGCGCTGATTCATGCCCTCATAATCTCAAGAATATACTGCAGTGCTCTCTACGTGGGGCTACCCTTGAGGTTGACGCAGAAACCTCAACTGTTCCGAAATCCGGTGGCCAGATTAATAACTGGGGTGAAGAAATTCCAGCACATCTCCCCCACTCTGGCCGCCTTTCATTGGCTACTGGTCCGTTTATGTATCAACTTCAAGGTAACATTTAAAGCCCTAAACAGTTTAGGACCTCAGTACCTATGAGAATGCCTCCTCCCAGCCAGATGTGCCTGTAATACCCATTCTTCACAGGCAGGGCAGTTGAGGACCTTGACCCTGAAGGAGGCCTAGAGGGAAAGAACAAGAAACCGGGCCTTTTCTGCGGTCTTCCCCGCCTATAGAACAACCTGCCCATTGACATCGCCTGATACCCTCGATGGATGGGTTCAAATGAGCATTGAAGACGTGGCTCTTCTGTCAGGCTTTCCTGGAGGATTAAGATTTCAGCTTCCCTTTTACCATATTTTTTGTCATCCTATCCATCATCCTTTTTACCACCTTTATTGCCATCTGTTTTAATTTACCCTATTTGGCTTGTATTAATTTATTTATATTTATTGTGTTTTTAATATTGTTGTTTATATTGTTAGCCACCCAGAGTGGCCTGGTTGTCAAATGGTGCTGTGTAAATAAATAAATAAATAAATAAATAAATAAGTTACGGGGAGGGGGACCTACTTATCACACTGTAGTCTAGTGAAATTTATTCAGTCATGGTGTGGAATAGTGATGGGAACAACCAAGAAAAATGGCAGTTTGTGACGATCTGTGGTACATGGCTAACCACAAACCATCATGAACTGCTCTGGGTGGCCTGAAGAGGCGATGGTAGCGACGCAGAAGCCAGCCAGAGGAGTCAACTCACAGCCTCTGTGCATGCACTCATCGACCAATTGGTTGCAAGGGGCTTCCTTGGCAATGAGCTGGCCAGATGGTTGCATGTACAACAGAGGCAACCATCTGCTTCTGAGGATGGCACCCAAGGATCAGGTCATCCTGGACGGCAGCGGCAGCAGCAGCAGATAGGTTGAGGCGACAGCAGGATGGGAATGAATGGGTAACCCCGGTTTACCAAAGCAAACAAAACACCAAGGGGAAAAAGTTCAGAGTTTTGTTTTGCTTCAGCAAAATGGGATCCCCAAACTGGGTCATGAAACAAACCATGAACCAGCCCCATTCAAGTGGGTTTTCTGGTTCATGATTCGCTTCATGCCCATCTCTATTGTGGAGGATAGCATTCTCTACAGCAGCACCCACTATGTAGAACAATCATCCTACTGAGTTCAGTCATATTCCCAGTGTGGAGTGTGTGTGCCATTCACTGAAGACTTATTTGTTTGCCCAGGCTCACTAAAGTGGCCAGTCACACCAGCATTTTGTCATTTTATCACTGTTCTATTATTTTACTAAACTGTTTTATTGCATTCTACTAGCTTTTACCATTGTAATTACTTTTTGTTTTAAAAGAAAACCAATACAAACATTCTGATATTAACATTTCAAAGAGAGGAAGGGAACTTTCTGCCCAGAAACCTAATTTAACCTGTAGATGGTTCCAATCTGGACTATGAATGGTCTAAAACTGTCTTCCTAACCATGGGTCTCCAGATGTTCTGGGACTACAACCCCCAGAAATCCTGGTCAGCACAGCTAGCAGTGAAGGCTACTAGGAGCTGTTCTTCACAGCTAGCAGTCAAGAACATCTGGGATCCCCTGGGTTAGGAACCACTTGTCTAAGGCAGGGATCCCCAAACTATGGCCCGCTGGCCACACCCAGTCCACCTTGCCTTTTTATCTGGGCCAGAAGGTCAGCCAGGCACATGTGGGAAGCTGGGTGGGAGTGCACATGCTTGTCTTCCTTCAGCCTTCAAAAATCTGGAACATATATCTTGTGGCCCTCACTCTGAAAAGTTTGGAGACCCTTGGTCTAAGGAATGCTCCCCTCTTTCCTCAAGCCCCCCCATGGAGATTCCCTATGACACTGCTCATCTTCCTAATTGATGGGGGGGAATCAAGCCATTATCTCTAAGTACAGTGGTGCACCGCATAGCGACGATAATCCGTACAGCAAAAATCGCTGCAAAGCAATTTCATCGCTATGCTAAAATATAAAGCCCATAGGAATGCATTAAAACCCATTTAATGCGTTCCTATGGGCTTAAAACTCACCTTAAAGTGAAAATCCTCCATACAGCTGCCATTTTCGCTGCCCGGTAAGCGAGGAATCGGCGCGAAAACACAGCAGGTAACCATTTTGTTTACCCGGTGGCCATTTTGGAACCGCCGATCAGCCGTTAGAAAATCATAGCTTTGCGATGATCGGTAAGCGAAACAGGGGGCTGATCATCACAAAGCGATTTTTCCCTATTTAAAACATCGCAATGCAATCGCTTTTGCGATCGCAAAATCTTCAGCGCTATGCAATTTCATCGTTAAACGGGGCGCCCGTTAAGCGAGGCACCACTGTACACATAACAGCAAATACTTATATCATGTTACTTACTCAACTTCTCAACCAGAAAGGCTAGCAGTGCTGTTACTTCTAATCCCTGCTCAGTGCTAACAACAGGAAAATAAATTCCCACACACATCCTCTGTGGTAGGTAGACATGGCAATAGCAAAGTTTCCTTTGTAAGAATGTGACAGTATTTGGGGCTCAGAGCAAGTTTGGTCACACTGCATCTTTCCTGATGAGGAAAGATAGGATGTGTGCACATAATACTGCTTTCTTCTGTGTGGGGATAAGACAACAAAGTAAAACTGGTTCCCTGGTTACAACGTGAGCTGGAAGCTCCACCCAGCACTGCAGTGAGAGAACCTCTGAGGCTGGGGATGTGAAGTCAACGACATTCTAATTCACTAATGTAACCCAGGCGATGCAGACTTGCTGAGTAGGAATCCAATGTGGAAGCCCAAATCAGTTTCCCACCCTGTTTTCAGTAGTCCTAAAGCACAGTGGGGAGCCATTTTTGCACAGCGGGTGGCCATTTTAGAGCCGCCGATCAGCTGTTTGAAAATCGCCATCTAGCAAAAAATCGGGTCCCGAAGTAGGGAACTGATCATCGTGAACTGAATTTTTCGTATTAGAACATTATTTTGCGATCGCAAAAGCGATTGCAAAAACCTCGTCAAGCGGTTTCGTCGTTTAACGAGGTAATTGTTAAGCGAGGCACCACTGTATGTACAAGGGCAAGACCAAATGGATCAAAATCCAAAGGGACAACTGTTTCTGAATTCACACAGTTTGGAGCACTTCTACAAAGAATAGAGGACAAGACTTTATCAAAAGAATTATAATCTAGAAAATGATACAAACAAGATCACAAAAGAAAGGAACCAGATAAAGAGACAAATAAGGGAAAATGTAAGACTGTCTCATTTCAAGTGTATATAGGAAAGAGCTCATTTGAAAATGTGTTTTTAGCTCTTTTGCAAGGTGGGAATGAGGGTTTGATCCCAGCTGTTCAGCTAAATAGCACTGAAGAGGCCAAGAAGCTAGTATGTACAAACTAAGCTGAGACCACTGGAATTCAGGCAAAAGTAAGTTCAAAAGGGCCACAGAATATGCCAGGTTACAACCAGTCCAGAGGCAGCAACATGTCCAGGAATAAAAAGCTTCAGCTGGGAGAAAATCCATTTCAGAGAGGTTAGATAAAATTCAGTTTTTAAAGACAGGGACATAATGTGATTTGTGCTTTCATAATCACTGAAAATTAGGCTCATTATCTTTTTCTATGTAAAATGACCACTTAGAAAAAATAACACAGGTTCAAATCT